CTATAGGCTTAGCAAAATCATCGATTTTTTGGAAATTTTTTTGTTCTAGAAACAAGTCAATCATCTTCTCTATAATTAGAAAGAGGTAGAATTGTATTTAGTTCGGTGAAAAAGTCTTTTTTTGAAGAATGTGGCGTCTTTAAAGAGGGAATGATTTTCGATAAAAAAGTAAGGCTAAAGGCTTAGAAAAATCATCGATTTTTTGGAAATTTTTTTGTTCTAGAAACAAGTCAATCATCTTATCTATAATCAGAAAGAGGTAGAATTGTATTTAGTTCGGTGAAAAAGTCTTTTTCTGAAGAATGTGGCGTGTTTTAAGAGGGGCATGATTTTTGATAAAAAAGTAAGGCTATAGGCTTAGAAAAATCATTGATATTTTTGGAAATTTTTTTGTTCTAGAAACAAGTCAATCATCTTCTCTATAATCAGAAAGAGGTAGAATTGTATTTAGTTTGGTGAAAAAGTCTTTTTCTGAAGAATGTGACGTGTTTTAAGAGGGGCATGATTTTTGATAAAAAAGTAAGGCTATAGGCTTAGAAAATCATCGATTTTTTGGAAATTTTTTTGTTCTAGAAACAAGTCAATCGTCTTCTCTATAATCAGAAAGAGGTAGAATTGTATTTAGTTCGGTGAAAAAGTCTTTTTCTGAAGAATATGGCGTCTTTGAAGAGGGGATAATTTTTGATAAAAAAGTAAGGCTAAAGGCTTAGAAAAATCATTGATTTTTTTGGAAATTTTTTTGTTCTAGAAACAAGTCAATCGTCTTCTCTATAATCAGAAAGATGTAGAATTGTATTTAGTTCGGTGAAAAAGTCTTTTTCTGAAGAATATGGCGTCTTTGAAGAGGGGATGATTTTTGATAAAAAAGTAAGGCTATAGGCTTAGCAAAATCATCGATTTTTTGGAAATTTTTTTGTTCTAGAAACAAGTCAATCGTCTTCTCTATAATCAGAAAGATGTAGAATTGTATTTAGTTCGGTGAAAAAGTCTTTTTCTGAAGAATATGGCGTCTTTGAAGAGGGGATGATTTTTGATAAAAAAGTAAGGCTATAGGCTTAGCAAAATCATCGATTTTTTTGGAATTTTTTTTGTTCCAGAAACAAGTCAATTATCTTCTCTATAATCAAAAAGAGGTAGAATTGTATTTAACTAGTGGAAAAAGTCTTTTTCTGAAGATTATGGCGTGTTTAAACAAGGGGATTATTTTTGATAAAAAAGTAAGGCTATAGGTTTAGAAAAATCATCGATATTTTTGGAAATTTTTTTGTTCTAGAATCAAGTCAATCATCTTCTCTATAATCAGAAAGAGGTAGAATTGTATTTAGTTCGGTGAAAAAGTTTTTTTCTGAAGAATGTGACGTGTTTTAAGAGGGGCATGATTTTTGATAAAAAAGTAAGGCTATAGGCTTAGAAAAATCATTGATTTTTTTGGAAATTTTTTTGTTCTAGAAACAAGTCAATCGTCTTCTCTATAATCAGAAAGAGGTAGAATTGTATTTAGTTCGGTGAAAAAGTCTTTTTCTGAAGAATGTGGCGTGTTTTAAGAGGGGCATGATTTTTGATAAAAAACTAAGGCTATAGGCTTAGAAAAATCATTGATTTTTTTGGAATTTTTTTTGTTCTAGAAACAAGTCAATCATCTTCTCTATAATCAGAAAGAGGTAGAATTGTATTTAGTTTGGTGAAAAAGTCTTTTTCTGAAGAATGTGGCGTGTTTTAAGAGGGGCATGATTTTTGATAAAAAAGTAAGGCTACAGGCTTAGCAAAATCATCGATTTTTTTGGAAATTTTTTTGTTCTAGAAACAAGTCAATCATCTTCTCTATAATCAGAAAGAGGTAGAATTGTATTTAGTTTGGTGAAAAAGTCTTTTTCTGAAGAATTTGGCGTGTTTTAAGAGGGGCATGATTATTGATAAAAAAGTAAGGCTATAGGCTTAGCAAAATCATCGATTTTTTGGAAATTTTTTTGTTCTAGAAACAAGTCAATCATCTTCTCTATAATTAGAAAGAGGTAGAATTGTATTCAGTTCGGTGAAAAAGTCTTTTTCTGAAGAATGTGGCGTCTTTGAAGAGGGGATGATTTTTGATAAAAAAGTAAGGCTAAAGGCTTAGAAAAATCATCGATTTTTTTGGAAATTTTTTTGTTCTAGAAACAAGTCAATCATCTTATCTATAATCAGAAAGAGGTAGAATTGTATTTAGTTCGGTGAAAAAGTCTTTTTCTGAAGAATGTGGCGTGTTTTAAGAGGGGCATGATTTTTGATAAAAAACTAAGGCTATAGGCTTAGAAAAATCATTGATTTTTTTGGAAATTTTTTTGTTCTAGAAACAAGTCAATCATCTTCTCTATAATCAGAAAGAGGTAGAATTGTATTTAGTTCGGCGAAAAAGTCTTTTTTTGAAGAATGTGGCGTGTTTTAAGAGGGGCATGATTTTTGATAAAAAAGTAAGGCTATAGGCTTAGAAAAATCATTGATTTTTTTGGAAATTTTTTTGTTCTAGAATCAAGCCAATTATCTTCTCTATAATCAGAAAGAGGTAGAATTGTATTTAGTTCGGTGAAAAAGTCTTTTTCTGAAGAATGTGGCGTGTTTTAAGAGGGGTATGATTTTTGATCAAAAAGTAAGGCTATAGGCTTAGAAAAATCATCGATTTTTTTGGATTTTTTTTTGTTCTAGAAACAAGTCAATCATCTTCTCTATAATCAGAAAGAGGTAGAACTGTATTTAGTTCGGTGAAAAAGTCTTTTTCTGAAGAATGTGGCGTCTTGGAAGAGGGGATGATTTTTGATAAAAAAGTAAGGCTAAAGGCTTAGAAAAATCATCGATTTTTTTGGAAATTTTTTTGTTCTAGAAACAAGTCAATCATCTTCTCTATAATCAGAAAGTTGTAGAATTGTATTTAGTTCGGTGAAAAAGTTTTTTTCTGAAGAATGTGGCGTGTTTTAAGAGGGGCATGATTTTTGATAAAAAAGTAAGGCTATAGGTTTAGAAAAATCATTGATTTTTTTGGAAATTTTTTTGTTCTAGAAACAAGTCAATCGTCTTCTCTATAATCAGAAAGAGGTAGAATTGTATTTAGTTCGGTGAAAAAGTCTTTTTCTGAAGAATGTGGCGTCTTTGAAGAGGGGATGATTTTTGATAAAAAAGTAAGGCTAAAGGCTTAGAAAAATCATTGATTTTTTTGGAAATTTTTTTGTTCTAGAAACAAGTCAATCGTCTTCTCTATAATCAGAAAGAGGTAGAATTGTATTTAGTTCGGTGAAAAAGTCTTTTTCTGAAGAATATGGCGTCTTTGAAGAGGGGATAATTTTTGATAAAAAAGTAAGGCTAAAGGCTTAGAAAAATCATCGATTTTTTTGGAATTTTTTTTGTTCTGGAAACAAGTCAATCATCTTCTCTATAATCAGAAAGAAGAAGAATTGTATTTAGTTCGGTGAAAAAGTCTTTTTCTGAAAAATGTGGCGTGTTTAAGAGGGGCATGATTTTTGATAAAAAAGTAAGGTTATAGGCTTAGAAAAATCATCGATTTTTATGGAAATTTTTTTGTTCTAGAAACAAGTCAATCATCTTCTCTATAATCAGAAAGAGGTAGAATTGTATTTAGTTCCGGGAAAAAGTCTTTTTTTGAAAAATGTGGCGTCTTTAAAGAGGGGGTGATTTTTGATAAAAAAGTAAGGCTAAAGGCTTAGAAAAACATCGATTTTTTTGGAAATTTTTTTGTTCTAGAAACAAGTCAATCATCTTCTCTATGATCAGAAAGAGGTAGAATTGTATTTAGTTCGGTGAAAAAGTCTTTTTCTGAAGAATGTGGCGTGTTTTAAGAGGGGCACGATTTTTGATAAAAAAGTAAGGCTAAAGGCTTAGAAAAAACATCGATTTTTTTGGAAATTTTTTTGTTCTAGAAACAAGTCAATCATCTTCTCTATAATCAGAAAGAGGTAGAATTGTATTTAGTTTGGGGAAAAAGTCTTTTTTTGAAGAATGTGGTGTCTTTAAAGAGGGGATGATTTTTGATAAAAAAGTAAGGCTATAGGCTTAGAAAAATCATCGATTTTTTGGAAATGTTTTTGTTCTAGAAACAAGTCAATTATCTTCTCTATAATTAGAAAGAGGTAGAATTGTATTTAGTTTGGGAAAAAAGTCTTTTTTTGAGGAATGTGGTGTCTTTAAAGAGGGGATAATTTTTTATATATGTTTAGTTCTTTTTCGAAGAAATGTCCTTCTTTGTGTGGACAAGCCTGGATCGGTGGTAGAAGAATCATTAAAATAGTATTTTTCAAACCGTCTGAAATAGACCCTTTCTATCGATTTGTAAAAAAGCTAAATGGCTGAAAATTTAACAAGAACCTTTTGTTATCCAGTAATAATCTTGCATTATTCAAGAAGATATTTCCCGTCCCTGTTCAAGAATACGAAATCGTATAAATACAATGTAATTCAAAAGGGAAAACTGAAAACGATCTCACCAACCTCCAGCGTCAGATTTAGCAAAAGAAGCGAAATTAGAAAGCCATTCGTTTGCAACGCAATCCAAAAAACTTTGCTCTCCACAGTCCAATGTCAGGTTGTCTTGCAAGTTGTGAGGAAGAACCTGTACCAACATAAAGTGTAAATGCTCAAGGCCAATGCACACTTGCATGCCGGTTGCTTTGGCCTAATAAAAAATCCAATGATTAATCAAGCACGGTTACAGCAAGCACAAAACTCCACAATCGTGCTATCAGTGCAAAAGCCCAAGAGGCACTGAAAAAGGCGTGCCATGTCACATATCAAACGTGATTAAATTTGATTTAACCAAGATTTAACATGTGATAAAAGTAAAAGGAAGTTGGTTTTTTATATGCTAATAAAAGAATTGTAAGCTTGTAGTCAGTTTCTAAATGCAATAGAAACTTTAAGGAGAAAATTCAGGAAACGAAAATGCAGAAATTTTGAAGTGTTATTTTCGAAAGATGGAGGAAAAAGTTAGAACATTTCTAAAAAAATGTTGTCAACTATCAGGGTATACTCTTTGCTTGCTTTTCACTGATACAAAAGCTTTCTTACAATATCTTATCACCTTGAGTATTGTATACAAAAAGAGTAAATTTTAAAAAAACATCGAAACGCCATACATACAATTAACAAACATTGAAAAGAGAAACGTTTATAAATTCAAAACAATATATTTGAATGAGCATGGAATATAAAACACTATCAAAAACCTGTTAAAAATGTCAGCATTAAGTAATAGATATTTAAAACAATTTTGCGCTTTCTCCAGAAAATGTTTCCCTCGTCTTGAAACATAGATCGCCAGTTTTGGTTTTTTTTTCTCGAGGTCAGTCAGTCATCTGGCTCATGAATTTTCTTCCTCAATATTAACCTTTGCAACGTGTTTTTCCGTCCTAAAAGCAAATTGAAGCTGGTTAGAGTTCATTTTTGAGCAAAGTTGTCCAGCCTTGGATTAGGAAATGGGAAATTAATCAACCTGGTTGAGTCAAGTTTGCTGAAACGCACGCGGAAGCTATGATCAGAATAATAAATCAATGGCCTGCATACAACAGATGATTCTTTAAAGTTTAAGAAACATTTTAAAGGCATTGAGACCCCGTTTACACTGATTTTATAAACAAATTTTATCCACAAAAAAATTTGTTCAGGTTGATTTGCGTTTACACTGTGCTGCACAAATTTTGTCCACTTTGCCCTCCCGTTTACACTGTGCCGGATAACTGCAGTGACATGACCTAAATCGTGCACAGAACGCCCAATTAGAAGTCATCTCTGGGCAACAAAATAACAACAAATTCCCGCTAATGTAAAAGACTTAAATTCTCTCTTCAGTATCATCTGCTTCTCTTTCAGATGAAGTTCGGAGGTATTGTCAAAACAAATTAGGCAAAGTTGGCTTTAATGAGCCAAAATGGCGCTGAAATAGCGAAAAAAGTGGGGAAAGCTGACATTGATTCCCATTTTTACGTGGACTGACGAAGCTGCTGCATTTTTAACACGACTTTTTTTGTCGACAACATGGCAGACAAGATGCCGAAAGGTCTTGATTTGGAGACAGTGAAAACTAAATGGAAAGAAATAGCCAATTGATTTCGAGCAAGATACGATGTGGATAACATTTATCCGGATAAAACCGTTTACACTGTACCACATAACTATCCGAACTAATTTAATCCACTTTCCTAGGTGAACTTATTTTGTTCGGAAAGCCGCTCTCAAATTCGTGAGGATAGCGTGGGTCTATAGGTCTAGTATAAACGCGACACCTATCTGAACTTATTTTCATGCGGATAAAATTTATCCGGCACAGTGTCAACGGGGTTTGAGTCATGGGAAATAGGCCTTCTCTTTAGGGGGTCATTTGCTTTCGGCGTGATCGCTGTATGTATATTGGCATCCGTTGTTGATAACTTACGAGTAGGGCTCATGTGATCAGAGTCAAATCCACAAATAGAAATGCAGCACGAAAATCATAACTCGGCAGCGTATTTGGGTATACCCTTTTCTTTTATCACGAGTCAGTGCCTTTAATAATTGAAACTAAAGTTTGAAAAAATTCAGGGCCACGGCAAATCGTTATTCATTGCATTGTTTGCTGAAACTGCAGGACGAGCAACAAATGGTTTGGAATAGAAATCATTCAATCATTCAGTAATTTGTGGCACTGAATTTCTTCTCGCCAATGAAATAAAAGTCTTGGCCTCGCAGTCAAAAATTTTGCTAGTCAACAGAAAGACATCATATGAAAATCAGCTTTCAAATATGTTATACAAAAAGGCAAATTTGCTAAGGGGATAAGTATAACAATTTTCTCACGTCCTCTAGCTTGCTAGCATTGGAGATTGCGACTTGTGAGGACGTGCTTTTGAATCTAACTCTTTAGAATGACTGGGCATCAGCGACGAATTTTAAGCGACACTCGTTTCGAGTTTTAATGCAGATCACGGCGACCATAGTTTTTATAATAAGGTGGAAACCCCCGCCGAATAGTACTACTTTGAAATCGGCAAGTTACTCTGTACACTCTCTAACATAAAATCAACCAATAAGCAACCTGGTGCTTACAGAACACCAGTTGGAAGCTAAAACAGAACAATAGCTAAAAAAGAATAATAGTTGAAATTAAAAAAGGATGTTCACGCTGATAACCACGTGAACACAGCACGTGATATCGAACTTGAACTTTGTACCGTGAATAGAAATAAGCACTCACGTGACAAATGCAGTGTTTTCCATCTTTTGCCTTCCAGACTTCATTATTCTTTCTTTTTAATCCATTTTTATCTTTACAATGTTTATGCTTCTTCTTTGTTACATCTTCAAGAGTTTTTTTCATTCCCTTTAACTATAAAAGAAACAAAACAGTTTGAAATGGCCTGAAATTGCATTACGTCGAGGCTTTGTATACTCAGATATATGTGCAAATGTTGCTTTTTAGGGCCTAGCATCTTCAACCCCAAGCATTTAGATGTTGGAATGTTTCCGCCGTATTTGAGTATAGAGCTCAACCCCGATCAGATCAAAGAAGAAGTAAGGCCCATACTTTATAAAAAGAAAAACGCACCGAATCGTATCTTGTAGCAAAACAAGAAAATACAGTCTACATAAAACGAAGCTGTACTTTTATTTAGTTTATGGTAAAAACAATGAAGATTCGATAGAATAATTCTAACATCTTTATTCATACAGCAGCATAAAAAAAATTGTCACTTGGAGAACACAAAATAAGATTGGTTTGATCAAAAGGTGAATAATTTTCCTTGTGTAAAGTAACAAATAACACTTAACCGAGTTAAGAAAGAAAGCTTTATTCGGATACATAAACTTAATTCGTTATAGGTAGCTTTGTTGCTCTCACCTCGTTTTGAATGTTACTCAGCGAGGCTGCAATTTCTAAGACAACATTTTCTAAGCGATCCACTCTTCCCTGTAGTGAACTCTGTTCAAGCGGATGCTCTTCTTCTTCATGTATTTCTGGCTCCTGCTCTTCACGGCCCTCTTTATTGCCAGGATTTTCATCTGTAACATTTTTTTCAGTCTTTGGCATTTCAGCATCCAGATTAATTGATCTTTTAGATCGCTGATGGTTTTCATTGTTTCGTAAAAAGTTGGATATTGTAAACGAACTGTCCCGATTTGTACATGAATCTATAAATTAAACCGATATAAGCATTAATAAGACGGCTCTCTAATGCCTCAAAACCCAGATTAAAGGCTGGCTTTACTTCCTTGCTATCCACTACAATTGCATCCTTTGCCTTACTTTAGTATCATTTGATTAGTTTTGCTGGCCATCACAAGCCTCAATTTGTCATCACAAGCCTCAATTTGTCATCACAACTTCAGCAAAATAGTATAATACACCCAAAAGTAAGTTGTGACCTCAAGTCCAAAAATAAAGTTCAGGGTCTTATTCTTAGGAGGCTTCATTATAACTAAACTTGAAAAAAATATAAAGTCAAACGATTTTATATTCACGATTAGGATAAAAGGACAATTATTGGCCAAAATAATTCTGCATTGAATAATATAAAAACACAACTTCAAGGCTATTTTAATAGGCCAACGTTTATTCCCGAATTATCAAACGAGACCAGCTTCTAAAAGAAAACCAGAAACTTTCCAGCGCATTCTTATTTGAATTTCATCAAAACCGAATTGGAAAATAATAGCACTACGTAGCTAAATTGGCCACAATACCAAGGAAATGTGTCTTTCATTTGTGCAATGACCTAAGTCTGCTTTTCACCCTACGTAATCTTACTTCTTTAGACATACCTTTATCGTCACAACAGGCCTTCCAAAAGCTGAGATCAAGAATTGGAATCCGTTCACAAGGCAGGTACTCAGCGTGACTCTGAATAACCTTGAACACATCCTTTTGCACGTGTCTTATATTGTCACTGTTGTCACAAATCACCCGAGACAAAGATGACTACGAAGCAAATAATAAAGAAATCATAGAAAAGCTCATAGAAAATCTTGCTGGCAATGGAATAGCTGTATAACGCAGTAGAAAGTTTCTGCTAACGGACCTTTTCAATATTCTGACATATAATCAGGGACGAGATAGGAGTCAATATTTTCTTTAGGGGAGGGGGGCAAAAGCCCCCTAAAGATATAATTTCAAGAAAAATTCCGACAGGTTACAAAAATATCTAGCATTTCAAATAAAATTTTAAGTATTTTTGGGGTTAGTCTCTCGGCCAATACATCCAACAGCCAATACACCCTAACATCTGGAGTACCTTCAACCCATGCCCCTCTTCCAGCGCGTCCATGGTTTTAAAAGTAGAAAATCAGTAGAATACCACATCTAGAGTACAGGCACTCTTTTCAATGTTGACAAATCTATTTCTTTTCTAGCTAAAACCTATTTCACGTCTTACTGACTTAGAGAAAAACTATGGCGATAGGAAACATCAATGGAGTTAAAAAATATGGCAAAAATAGATGGACCACAAAGTGTTATCACTGTTAAACATAATCTGTACATTTGATTCACACTATAACCACGGCCATTACCGAGGTTCCTATAAAAGTTAACCTGCTACTTAAGATAGGAGCCATTTGTAGCAAAGACTTATCAATGTTGTCTGCGCCTTTACCTTTCAAAGTAACAAAGCCTGGCTTTCTAGTTTGCCTTAACATTTCCTTGACATTCTTAGCAAAGAAAAAAAAAATTACCGTTTTAATAACGAAAAGGTATATAAATCATTAGCCAAGTTAAATTCTAGGAATCTTAGGAATACATCAACTGACCCAAGGCTACTAAAGAAAAAATAAAAAAATGGAAAGAAATGCTTCTCGCTCAGATGTGCTGGGTCGTGAAATGGCCTCTCAGCTGAGTGTAAACAGGCATCTTCTTTCAGCAAATTCAAAAAATATCTTGCACAATTGTAAACAGGCGTAATTGTCAATTGTATATATTGAATTGTAATTAGGGTAATTTGTTTTCTATACGAGTTTATGTAAGAATTTTTAGTGGAAGGCCCCTTGAAAACCAGCATTGCTGAAGGACTACCCTCCTTAAACATTTGAAATGCAATTAAATGAAATGTCATTTAGTCGGACAAACCTGTTTTATTTGTGTGAGCTGTGCAGGTTCAAATACCCCAGGGTTCTCATACCAGAATCTGTCTCCGTTTCTAATCCTTTTGAACTGCGTAGTAATTAGACACATGAAAACAGGACCAAGTCTTGTGCCTGGTATTACATCTTCCACCATTCCTCCCACAAACAGATCAATATTATCTGGGTGAATATATAGCCTCTTAAGCTTCTCGCGAATTTCTTCGCTCGGTATCTCTTTGCTCAGGTCGTCGAACGTCGCCGCAAGCGGAAGGTTACAGTACTCTCTCCAGTTATTGTAACCAGGCAGTGCGTGATCACGACCGCGTTGGATATTCAAAGCTGCAAGATCTAATGCGATATCATGCGCCATCTGGAACAGCCTATTTGTAAGCTCTGTGTTCATGACTTGATCCGTATCTCGTCGTTCTTTTGCCGCTGTGACGAACAATCCGCGAATAAGCGGATCAATGCCACCTTCACTGAGCAATCGATTTGGTGAGAAGAATGCTTTGTGCAGTGGCAAATGTCCTTCTTCCGTTGGCATAAATGACGCATTAAAGCGGGTGAGGAAGGGCTGGATGAGAGAATGGCCAAATCTGAAAGCTGCAGTAGCAAACGAATTCAAGACAGATGAGTCAACGGTTGGGTCGTAGCGTTCATAATTTCCAATTCTTTCCATTCCTTCTTTCCCAAGAATCTTCGGTAACCACCATTTAAAGGTAATGTGCTGCATTTGAGCTCCAACAATCTTTCGCGCGTTATGATATATCTCATCACCTTTCCAGTGCGGATTTATACGCCTCAATTCGGTTGCAATACGGTTGTGTTCCCGCATCCATAACGTGTGCATGGACAACAGGCCTAGCTGTTCGTTGGCCCGATGGTCACCAGCTAAGAAACAAGGTATTGTCGTCTCTGATCGATTAACTTGACAGTCGACCGGTAGATCTGTGTTATAGGGTAGGTACGGCTTACCGCTAGGAGCCAACGAACCAGTTTTGAGCAGCCCCCAATTACTACTGAGATCGCGCAGCTCCATCGATTCGTGCTTCGTTGAGCCGTATACGTTTGACGCGTCAATATATGACGTAATTTGATTTATTTGCTGACGTGGTGTTATAACATCGAAGAAGACAGACGTTGAGCCACTACCGCAGACTGAACTGGACCGCGTAAAATCCATGCATTTGTGGCGTTTGCTACGCGGGTCGTTGCGCGGAATTTCAATTGGGAAACAGGGATGCTCCTTTTCACAACTAACGTCACAGCGTCCACCATCAGTGAATCTAGCAGTGTTTGGGCTTGTCACTTGAAAAGTGAAGTCATGATCGATAAACTGTCCCCACTGCATTGCCATATGAGTCAGTTCAGTATCATTGGTCGTATTCAGCGTCGACATAACCTCCATGGAGATCAACCTTGCACTCGGTTTTCCTTCCGTATTGTTCCAAGCTACAGGTGTGTTGAAACCATTTTCGTAAATAGGACTTAGAAGCCTGCCAAAAGGCGTAAGTGCGGCACCCCACATTGGATGCTTCAGGTTGTTACAAGATCCGTCGTAACTTCGAAACTTCATGTGAAAGCATAAATCGGAGCAGTTCGCTTCATTCTGGTGCGCAGTGCAGCCTGATAAATTCGCAAGCATTGCAACTTGTTCTGGCGAAACAAGATTGTTCAAATTAGAATGCAAGTCTTCCTCCTTTCCAATGTCAAAATTCTTGAAATCAACTTGTTCTTGGATGAAGTTCAATGCTGTTTCGAAAATTTCGGCAGCTCTGCCAAGACGGACGGCCTCGGGGGACGGGAATCGAAACAAGGCTAACAGATCGCCAGCAGTTCGCGGGACAAAGGTTGTCAGTTTCTGCTTCGTTTCATCAATCGCACGGTCGATTTCAATACGCGCTCTTTCGACAGAGTTCTTCACAAATTCGTCACCCTGGTAATTTCCATCTCGCAAACCTGGAAGAAAATAAAAGGGGAATATATGACTGGCCGAATAACTCGCTTCAACCGAACAGCCGAACAGAAATATGAATCTTGAGGGATGATACAGAGAGATTGATTGGCCCTTTGCTAAAAACCAATCAATCTTTTTTCATGTTCAAGAAAAAAAGTATATATTTCTGTATACACAATTCTTGACTTTTCTGTTGATGAAAAGAGGGCCTAAATGGAAACAAAACGTGACATTTCCAGCGGATTAAACATTCTACGCACTTAAGTTATGCTACGTTACGTTATTATGTTACGTTTCTGTGCACGGATGAATAGATGCTCGAAACTACATGGATTAAACCAACTTCATTCCCCTTGGCAAACAACGGGCAATTAATTGTACCATTCCCTCTCCCTCTTACCTATGACACGCAGCTCAAATACTTCTGATGAAAACCCAATACTGTTCCTAGCAGCACACTCCCAGCGGCCCTCGTCTTCCTTTCCGATGTCACGAATCTCAAGGACTCCCGTGCTTGAATTTACTGAGTATCTGTTGCCACTAGATACCTGAACTCCGTCTTTTATCCAACTTATTACAGGTTTCGGAGCCCCAGATGCAGCACATTGGAAAAATATAGTGTTGCCAGCACGAACGGTAGCATCGTCAGGTTTCGAATGAATTCTGGGGGGTACTAGAAGGAAAAAAGTGTATTACAAATGATACAGAGTGTCTTCTTTCGAGCTGAAACTTCGACACCCTTTATCTAGAAAATAAAAGAAATAACATTTATTGTGTATTTTACTAATTAACTGATTAAAAAAAATTATCAAATATTCAAAGTTATCTTCTATGACTGGCAAACAGGTATATATGATTCGGATGGTTCTCTTGCTGCCCCTTTTTTAACATCAAAACATGTTCAGCTTTGTCTGCGACAGACTGGTTGACAGTAACCCTCAACCTACAATAATTCCCAAAGTACTTGTTACACCTAAGCAGTTTCAATAAATTCTTTATTTATTTTCAATTCACCCCTATGTAAATATCTATGTTGCCCTCTTTCCCCCAAAGGAAGTTGGAAACACACCCCAGCCATCCCAGTTTCTAAGATGCAGATTATGAGACAAGATGCGTCGAATAGTGTATTTTTATGGAAAATAACCCAACATTATTTGAAAAAGGAAATGAGAAATATCTAATGGTAAAGACAACAATGCTGTTTGTGTTCCTAGACTTTTGGTAGGCACTGAATTACAAACAAAACAACTGACAGAAACAACTCTAGACAAAGCTAGTTTCTGAGGAAAGCTATTTCCATGAGAAGACTATAGAAAATTAATTTATTTGTAATCACCTCGGTTAGACACAGTCACCCTTGCACTGGTGGAATTGACTCCAATAACATTGACAGCCTGACAATGGTATGTCCCTTCGTTCTGTTTGTTTACATAGAGAATTCGCAAAGTTCCGGATGGCAGGACAATATGTCTTCCATCAGACGGTAGACGATCGCCGTTCTTATTCCACGCAATTGCAGGTTGTGGGTATCCCCGTGCACGGCACTCAAGTGTTACTGTTTCACCATCTAATGCATGAACATTCCGGGGGCTTTTGAGGAAAATCGGCCGTGCTATTATATAAAAAGATAGCTAATGTTTTCGATCATTATTATGCTTGCTTTAAAAGGCTAAAGTTTGAGTCTTAGAATAAAAATAAAGATGAAGAATAAAAATTGCAATATAAGACAAGGCAAATAAATAAAAAACAGGAGAAAATCCAGTATAGAGGGCTCACATCTTCTCTTCATTTTTTAAGAGCTGACCAAGTAAGTCATGTGAAATCGGCGGACTGAGTGAAAGTAAAGTGATGTAATGCGCATGCTTATTGACTGCAAAGACAGGGGTCATCTCAACAAAAAATAACTCTCTTTCTTGTCGGGTCAATTAGTATTCAAAACCTCCGAATATAATTTCTCAGACAGATGTATTACCTTTAACAATGATCCTGGCTGTATGTGATATGATCCCAATAGGATTTCTAGCTTCGCATGTATAGTACCCGTTGTCATCCTGTACCACTGGCATGATCTCTAAATCCCCATTAGCAAGCAGTTTAAGTCTCCTGTTCGGCCGTAAGCTGTTCCCGTCTTTCCGCCAAGTAACTCGAGGTCGTGGGAAGCCACTTACCCGACATAGAAGCCTCACTGCATTTCCAGATATGGCCTCAGTATTACCAGACCGGTGTGTAAATCGAGGGCGGACTGAAAGAAAGAAAAGACTGTTGTTTAGAATAAATATATAACATCAGTGTGCACTGAAGATGAAAATATGGCATCAACTGTACAACAAAAATTGGCCTATGTCCAACATTCAGTACGAGACTATTCTGTTTATTTTACATTTTACAGATCGACTGAACAGATCGACTGAACATTTTACTTTCCTTGATTACGCTCCAATTACATAACAGAGGGCCTAAGAAAATCAATTTCCGAAGCGTTTGTTCATTTATGATTCTTCGGGCTCAATTAACCTTTCTGCTTGCAATTTTTATTAATATTTTTTCACTTAATGGAAATTGGAGTTCGATTGGACAGTTAAAAACAAGGGCGTATTGGATATCCGGTAAGTTACAGTAATCCAGATGATAATCTGAAAAGTCAGATTTCTCGCAGATCCTGGACTTTTTCTGACTGTTTTCAGTGAAATGTTATCTAGTAATATATTGGTTCTATAGACTGAACCTCACTGTTAGTAGATACTGTGCACGGGAATCTTTTAAATATTACTGGGTTACTTATAGGTCAACGATATATGGAAGGGCAATAGATACGAAAAGATTCAGTTAGATTCGTTCCTAAACTAATATGATCAATACAAGGCCCACAGCAACGTGGATTGGATTTATTTAGCCCATTATTATTGCCTAGATTGTTTAGCTGAAATTAGTCGATCCAAATCTGAACAAGATTTACTTCCATCCAGTGAGTACTTGGTCGAGATTTGAAACAGAAAGTATATGCATTTGAAGGTTCCATATTGGACCAACTTCACTCGGTTCTGGTACAAACAAGGTGGATTCATACTTGTAAAAGAAGTTATAACAAAGCCAGTGTGACAATTAGCGATAGGCTGAAAGATGGACCACAGCCTCTTGAAAGTAATATAATTGTAGGAATAATACAAGTGAAATTTGGGGACAAAAATAAAGCTGTCACCCCAATTTCACAAAAAATCAAAATAAAGCACTAGAATTAAAAAATGATTGATGCTTAAACAATAACTTACATAAGCTAAGCTGAGTACAAATTACATATGAAACATACCTTCATTTTCTACCAAGTTCAGTCTGACTTTCATAGCAGATTCACCAAAGCCATTGCTAACTTTACATTCATATGTACCACTATCTTCTTGACTAACAGAGTTTATATCAAGAGTGCCGTCACTGGTAACTGTAAATCGACCGTCTGTTGGAATCTCGAAACCATCTTTTCTCCAAACAATGTCCTGCCTCGCAAGACCCTTTACAGTGCATCGTAGTGAGATTTGCTCACCGACTGCACTGATGACGTCTTCAGCGATCTCGTTCTTGTGTTCGTAGCCTGCAGGAAAAAGAGGTGCATTGGCTAATGAATCTAAAGAAAACAAAAGAAGTTGTGAGAAGCTATATGCAATTTATGTCGGTTAGTGTGTTGGTAGTATTACGATCCATGTAGTTTCGCGTTAAATTTATTTCGAGCTTTTTCATGGAACCATTGATACAAGGTAATGAATTTCTGTTTCCTAGCCATGTTAATCCTGAAGGATTACCTTCAGTTACGGCTTTAGTTACGCCTGGAGTCACACCCGTAACCATGAACTTAACATGAAGAAGATGATTACTATTATTATCATCATTATTATTTTTATCAATTCTTTGATTTAAAGTTGGCTATTCACAATGGCTAGACCAAATAATAATTTAGGCGTATCTCTATTAGTTGTTTGTATACACAATAACATTGTAGCTGTTTTTTTTTTGATATTGTATATACGATTTGTAAGTAGATGACCTATGGATGTGGGATATAATTAGAATATATAAACATCCACTGAAAGGAACTCGTCATAACAGACACAACTCAATAAAAAACACTACCTAACAATGGACAAAAAAGTCGTCTAAAAATCTTTCCAGCTGTCAATTTCGTTTACAAATAATCACAAGGCAAGTAAATCAAATTTGATGTCCCACAAGCATCCATTACAGGAGGATTTCATGAAAAGTATTTGAAAATTTCCGAAATGACTTTAACAATGACTGAATAATTGTTAGCACCTTCAAAAGATAGTCATATATACATATATATATCTATAATAAAATATTTTTGGCCACATTGGTCTAGAGCCCTAGAGAGTGAGAATTTGGAAGGCAGTGAAACCTACTACAGTTAAATTCCTCAAGCCGTAACGTAGATATCATTCTCCCTTTGAAATTCTCGGGTTCGTAACAAGTGGCCACTGCAGGCTGGTGCTGATGCCTCTCGCTGTACTCGTGCAACACCAGTAGCAAATCACAGTTGCAAACCAGCCGATTGTTGTCCATTCGCCTGTGGATATAAAGACACAAATAAAAAAATATAAAAATGGTACAGATATGAGAATGTTTATCAAAAGCTTACTATTTTAGGAAGACCAGAGCACCAGGGTTCATGAAGACGAATTGGGACCTATGGACACGTACTAAGACAATTGAAATTGGTTTGATGCATTTGTAGGTAGAATGAAAAAGCCGTATTAAGTGGCCCTTTGTTTCTCTTTTCTATGGATGTACTTCTTTGCAAGTAAACCCCCCCCCCCCCACACCAATTTCCAAGACCTTGAGCTGGTCTGTGCCCTTAATGTTTCCACTTTCCTGAAACGGACAAATTAGTACATTTGAACAATTTACAGGTACCGATGTTATCGAAGCCCTCCTCCGGATTTTCTCTGTATCTGCTCTTGAATACCGACATAGAAAAATAAGAACTTGGCGTAGAAAAGTTATAGTCAAAGCGGTTTAGATGCTATGAAATGCTTAAGATCAAATGAACAAATAAAGTAGGCAATGGAGAGTTGCTGAAAAGAATTAGTACATCTAAACAATTGTATAATGTAGTTAGGGAATCCAGGACATGTAGTTAGGGAATCCAGTTGGAAAGTATTTTTGAAGACTACATCCCTGGACCAAAATCACCAGGAAAGAAAAGAAGAATGTAGACAAATGACATCAAGGAATGGGCTAATATTGATGATTATGGTGATCTGAGAATAACAGCAAACAACAGAGTTCAGTGGAAGTAATGATTGGCAACCTACGGTAAACATAGAATCCTCCTGGAATGAATGGAAGGGTAGGAACACGGCTGTTTTTAAAGAAATTTGCTATCTGGAATCCTTCACAAGGTCAGATGCATTCTTCAAAGGATTTGTAACATAAATATTCAACATTCAGTACTACGCATTCATTACTACTTTACAAAGCAAGAACAAATGTCCAGCGTTCGGCTAATTGCGGTGGATATAGAAGATCCTTATTCTAGCACAATCCGATTAGTATAACAGTTGCCAAACACCTCAATAATATGTGGTTAGTGTGAAAGCCATCTCTTGGATAACCATTTCAGTGCAACGATCAAAATATTTTTCATCAACCTCAGACTTTGTTATTGGCCACATAACGTTAATTAGCATGAATGGTCCGTTAAGATCTGTGAATGAATTAAGGTTTTCCAAAACAAGGATTAAACGGTTCTCTCAATGAACAACCTTACAAACTTACACAGTTGACAGCTATCATGGCGTGTTTCACATGAGCAAAATGACGGGGTCTCAAACTAATAAATAGAAGTAATTCCCTTGAAGATAGTAAAGTATATCTGTTACGGTCTCAGAAGAATAATACCTACTCGATAAAACCACTAAATACCTCCCACAACTACAGGCACCACCAAACAACTGAAAAATAACTTTGTACCAAAATTTCAATCCGGCCGGTTAAAACTTGGTCGAAGCGGCCGCAATGCAAGGGATGCCTAAATCAACTTAACGTTGTTCTGGTTCTTCCAGGTGTCTGAAGGTTTAAATACAACTAATACTCAAAAGTTACAACCATGTTGCTAGCCAATTCGATAAACTTCTCCAGAACGTACAAGGCCCCAAAAAACACTACATCCTATGGTCTATTGAAAAGACTTTGAGCAGTTTTATGGTTCATTTGCTCCATGCAGTTCATTAAGCTCAAACCAAAGTGTAAACTACGTTGAACTTTGGATCCGAGCCCCCTAGTAAATGACATGAGCACCTTTTATAGCAAAATCGTTTTACAACACACACATATAAAGCAATGCTGAATCTTGAGTCACTATTGAAAACAAAGATGATCAGCATCCATAGGCTCTAATAACTTTTACATAAAACGCTTAAAAAAGACTTAGCAAAGCCCAGTAATTATTAGTGAACACAACAATGAAACAAGTAACATGAGGACATACAATTCCTTCAGTTTGGTAAGCGGTTGGAGAACATCTCTGCTAATGTGCTGGATAACATTGCTCCACATGCTCCTGAAATGCAGAACGCATAACATGTCACTTGAAAGAAGTAGTGAGATGCTTAAAGAGCGTTATATACTAATTAGATGGGACACAACTAAATGTTTGCTGTCACACAAGCTGTTTGCTATTTCACAAATAAACAGGTTTATAAAGACTAATTACCTTGGAATAAAGTTTCAGAATAAAGGTCTAGACTTTCCAGAAATGCGAAATGTTTCAACGATTTATTTAGTAAAACAATTTCAAATTGTTTGTTTGCAATAACTCTGGTGGTAATGCTTGATATGAAATAACTATGAATGTAAAGAGCTTTTTCACATAGGCCAACTCAAAAAAATTTCAAAACTATTTGGTTTTGCTTTACTTCCTTAACGTTAAGCAACTCCTGAGAGTAAAAAAATTTCATAGAAACTTTTCTGTCAGCATGATTAACTTCAATGTTAGCACAGTATCTATTTAGGCCCACATGTGTACTTGTGAACGTTTGAATATGAATCGAACAAAAATTACCAGCATCTCATTTTCACTTACAACAATTTCGACTGATTTAGGGCCATGTAACCAGTACAGGGGCATGTCCAATGTTAGAGACATGTAACCAGAAAAGGGGCAGTAATTTAGAGGCATGCCAAAACATCCTTCGAGAAGCAAATGAAATTAAACAGTTACAAGAATAGATAATTAAACAGAACAGAAGCGACCTGGCAATGTTCGTTTATCATAGGAAACTAGTAGGATATATAAAAACATTGTAATACTTACAATCGTTCCAGTTTTCTGAGTTCGATAAATGCATTTGATGAGATCAATTGAATGCGGTTCTGATGAATATATCTAAAAGAGACGAAGCTCCATCATCAAAAAGGCAGGAAAATGAATCGGAAGCGTTAAATATACAATAATTCTCTATCGAAATCCTATTACTACTGCTAAGGAGGGGGTTTTATCTATGACCATAACAACAAACCAAAACTCAGATATTTGGATAGTTGGAGGGTCATGGTAGCCAACCTTCTGATAGAAGATGGTACCTGATGATGAAGGAAGGGGTGGGGGTGTTGTTGGCATCAAGAACAACGGCGCGTATAATTCAGCAAATTGCAAAACAGAAAAACACGTCTACACTTTATCTTTCAGAATTTAGGCCTTTTATATAATCAGTACATATTTCACAGCTACTTTATTCCAAAGCCCAAGAATAACCATATCTAGTGGCTCTCTTTTATCTTAGGATTAACGATAAACCTTTTCAATTTTACCCTAAGCAAGCAACCCGAATTGATATCCCACTAAAAAATATATGTAGTGGTTAGTTAGAAAATGATAGAAAAAAATATGACAGTTACACAAATAACTACTTACAAATACTCTAGTTTTGACAGTCCAACAAACATCTGGTCAGTGATATATTCTAGATCATTGACATGGAGGTATCTACAAATTAAGGCAATTAAAAATTTAAATTCGGTGAAATAAGTTCAGACTAGATACAGGGTGGATGTAGCAAAATAAAGTAGCAGAGAGTGACGTAACCTTGTGCCTGCATCCATCAAGGATAAAGGAAAGGAAAATATGACATTAGTTAAACGAAGGAAAATGAGTCATTGTCAAAGATGCAAGGGTAATGAAATATCGAGGCATGGGAAGAAGCTGCCTTGGTTTTTTGTCAGTATCTAATCACTTTCTTGTAATCCACGTGTACCTAATACATTCAAGTTTCTGAAAAAGGAATAAAATTTGTGCAGGGCTGCTTGAGGTAGTTACCAGCAAGAAAATGTAGAACTTGCGCTGGTTCCATATGCGAAAAGGAAATTTTCATTGAGTGATCTCCTTCATTATTAACGAAGGTCTTTGACTAAGAAATCTCCACGGATCTATAGTAAAAGCTGTAGTGTTGGCATACGATTACCAAGAATCCTTTGGAAAAACCGATACATTTAATCGATCTTGCCAAGCACAATAAGCAAAGCAAGCCTCTAAATACTTAGGAGACCACCGCGATCCGTTATTTGAAGATTCCCAAAGCCTTTCAACAAACAGGTTTACGAGAAAAGCCTTCTAAATTACTTTTCCACTATGAAGATTAAACTGACAACTGACTAAAAAGATTAAGATTCTACTGTTTGTAGGGCAAACACAGTCATTACTTTATGAATCAAATCTGAAGAAATTCCGTTGCAATTTTTTAATCAAATGACAAGCCATGAATGGCTGTTATTGGTGTTTAGGCCCAATGTGAGGCTTAAGTTGTCATTAATCAACTTTAATAGCAAATGGCGTAATTCGTTTTATGTCAAAGCAATCTGGGAGTTATCGGCGCTCGAGGAATTTAGGAAAACCTAACAGTCTTTTTAGCTAGTTTTTAGAACGACCTCCCCCGAGGTGCTCGGGTATTTTGCTCATACCTTAGAATCTAAGGCGCTGTGGACGTGCAAAGGGGATAGTTAAGTCCCTTTTCTTTGATGTTTTAGAAAAAAGCATTTGGTATTGTCAGGGAAGAATAAAGAATATTCTAGTGTTATTTTGAGGAGTTTTATACAGTAGATTGAGAAAAAAATTCTATTGTTGTTCTACACCACCGAAAATTATATCGGGAAAACAAACTTTGTTGAATAAGCCTCAGCTTTGTGAAATTTCCTTTTTCAAAATTAAAACTCACATATATGTTGGGATTATGGCTAACTCTGCCTCTCTCAGGAAGCTGAAACTAAAATTGACTAAATAATGCCCCTGGTATAGGCACTCGTCGTAAACTCAATATATTGAGAAAAATCAGTGTTCGATGCAAATCATTGTGGCATACGAACAGCATAACTGTACAAAAAATAACGTAAGCTGAATTAAGTAAAACAGTAAGGGAGATCTTAAACATACTTACAAATGTTTTAGCTTTTTCAGTCTTGCAAATGCTCCGGGTGCAATTTCTTTAATGTTGTTATTGTTCAGAAAACTAAGTAAGAAATTAACCATTAACTAAAAACGGTTGTAAAATCAGCGACAATAAAAGCCAAGCTTCCGTTAAAAATTGCTGTATTGAGACTTGTTGGAAGAAAAGGTAAGTTAAAAACAGATTCAAAAATCTACATTAAGCTAAAAAAATACTCGATTCAAGTAAACAAAATTACATTATTTGAACATTGATCTACATCACCATGTCAGGATTTCCATGTTTTTCCCATAATATCGGGTTCTTCATGTAATGCTAAAACTGCAGGGAGATTATCCACGAAAAGTGCCCGTTTTGCGGATGAGAAAACCCCCACCACAAGACGATCTTCTCCATTAGAGAGGAATAGGTAGGGGTGTTCTTGGGTGCAAAAAACCCTCTTTAGCATAAATTGCTTGGGTGTATCTAGTAGATTGCCATCAAAATTTGAGGAACTTGAAGTTATTGTAAACCATAAACATGCTTTCAATTATAACCACGATAAGTCTTCAACTAGTTCCCGCCTACACCCCTTTAAACGTAGTTCAAAGTATTGAGCTGGGCTCATTTCTTCAATCTTCTCTTCGAAATTCCCATCTATGACATTCGCCCCTATATGGATTAGAGTTTCGTGGCGCCATAAAGTTGCCTTTTCGTTGTAGAAATTGTAATGCTAAGATTTTCTCTGATTGTTAAACCTTGGCATGCATCACCTAGATAATAGAATAGTCAGCCTATGTCCAAGAAAATGTTCATACATAAGAGGTCAGCCAAAGGAAGGATATTGAATGAAAATCGCAGAACCTACATTTCGGAGTTTTCATAATAAACAGCGAAAAAGTAAGGGTTAAGTGGCTTAAGGTCATCGATCTGAATGGCTAGGCTACTAGAAGCACAAAAGGAATGTTGTTTGTGAGGTTTAAAGCAAAGAGCCATTGATAAGAAACTACCTTTGAATCAAATTATCTCCGTAGATTACGTATCAATGTATTCAGAATTGTTTTTGAGATTCGACGAAAGATTAGGTTTGGTGAATCTTGTCAAAATTCTGGCACTTCGCTCAACTGACCAAAATTTTCGTGGCATGGGCAGAGCGGAGCAGGCCTGACCAAAACTAACTAAAGTTGATGGGGAAGCGAATCAGCGTTTGTTCGAAGGGCCGTTGGCTTCCAGAGTTTTGCATCATTTGCACATGCGCAGTTAAAATCAATATCACCATTGCAACATCACGTAATGTATTCTTTGGTAGAAACATTCGTCAAATTCATATGGGTATAAGCCAGCTTCGGATCAAATGCAATGAAAACTTTGAGAAAAGAGCGTCTTCAGAAAACAGAGGATGAGACTGTTTTCATAAAATTCCGTTAAGCACTATGGGAAGGAAATTTTTTTCTCCGAGTCTTCGCCCTAATGCGCATGTGCAAATGACGCACTTTTCTCGTTGACTTGGGCAAATGGATAGCACAATATCCCTGAATAATGGGAATCGGTTATTCAGCAGTTATTGGCAAATATGCTTAAATATGCTTAAATATATATCAAATAAATATCCTTAGAACGTGAGCAGATAAATTCGATGGACAATTCATTCTTGCAACAAACGTGCGAGATTTCCATCGAAACAACAGCTCTTCTAATGATTTTTGTGATAAACGATGGGATTTCCAAGAAAAGGGTACGAGATTTTCATAGAGTGATTTTCCCCTCGGATATTGATAACAAGTCATCTTTTTTATTATCAAACGAGCACAACTTAAAAAAAACAAGCCACAAGACCTATAAACAAATAGTTATTAGAGGGATGGGTTGTAATAACGATCAGAATTTCTCTATCAGATGTGCTCATAGTTTTGATTCGCAATTTTTAACCAGTTTCGATACTTACAGATTTTCGAGCTTCGGCAAACCATGAAAGTCATCCTCAGAAATCTTAGTTATTCTGTTACCGTTGAGATCCCTAAAAGAAAAAAGTAAATCACTCTAAATAAACAGTCTTCAAGTTGTCAATGGCACAGTGATCAATAAAGACTCAATAACAATCATATATGGTTGTCAGAGCATTGTATTGACGACATTTGAAAGTAAAAATTAATCAGCGTAGAGCCCGAGGCTAAAGACTGAATTAAGTTCCTTTCCATCTGAAACCACATTCTGACACAGGCTAGGTCATGTTAATTGCGTGCCCACTTCTTTTACACAGTTGCCAATGCAATCGAACACTCCATTTGGTGACAACATAGGACCGTTCTTTTATCCATCAATTCATGTATGAATTCGTTGATGATTGGTTTAAGAGCAATGAAAAATAAACTTAGTTATGACGTCATTAAAATATATCTAACAACATTTGAATTCGGATCATAGAAGCTGAAACAGCATCAAGAAATACCATCAAATGTGCGAAATTATCTTAGTGTATTAATAATTTGTTGAGATATGCCCACAGAAGCACCGATTCGTTCCCCATTAAGCCACTGTCATTTCGTCACTTTATGAACCAAAATATCAGTAATCTGTTAGTAAACTTCATATCTTTCATTTGCCATTTCTCACCCAATTATTAAGATATTTAACTGAGTGTCCATACTACAAGGAACTTTATGGTTCTCTTTTATCTTACATAGTCAAAATGGATTTCTAATAACGTCATAAACTCTATGCTGACTAGTTTTGAATAAAAAACAATTGAAATTTGTGAATGCGATGCAGCACTACGGAGCCCCAGATCTGAAACAGAATCGACAAAACCTGACTGAAACATAACATGGGAAAAACGAGAAAGACATAGCCACAAAAGTTTCTATGAAATAGCCAAACAAGTTAAACAGAGCTTAACAACGGGCACATAGATCCGATTTGAAGGATAATCTCGGCTATCGTCGTAATCTTGCAGAGAATTACGAGATTTGCTTCTGGATTCATTAGTATAGTTGGTAAATCTTTGCCCGTAAGGCAAAAAATTCGATACAGTGTTGGCAAAGAGCGGCAGTCTTTGTAGGCTGATGCCTGATCTACCAATTCAAGTTGATACAAGGAACAATGACATAACTTTAAATCTAAAGCCTAAAGCCAACATTCTATGGAGCTACGACTGTGTGAAAAGCCAACGTAGGATGAAGAGTCATTACAAAAAAAATATTAATCGTCTTCAAGAAAAACATTATTTAAAAAGAACTGAAATTAATCTTTGAGAAGCAAAGATATGTCATGCTATGCACGTACAATCACTGCCAAAAGTCTTGGAACACTAACGTAGGTTTTCAAAGGCAAATTCAGCCACCCCCCTCTCATCCTAGGAACAATGTTGATTTATTATAGAAAAATGAAAGGGATTATGCCATACTGCCTTCCAACTTCCACAGAGACATTACTCGTAGGCCCATTCAAAATTCAATACGTATTGGATTTGCAAGAAACGATGGATAGCTTACAAAAAACACAACACACGAAAAATGACATAACCACTCTACTGCTGAACATTAACGAGTTTCTTTGTGAAACAAGAAATACATCTCAGACTTATCCGCGCGATGGAACGAACAATTGACCTTTCGTCGTGAACAAAGTCGTGTGCTTTTTTTAACACTATTAGGTAAATTGGCTGAAACTCAGATTAACAACCATTAAAACGAGTCTTGGTTTATCATAATGTGTGGCAACGTGTTCAACATATATTTTAACAGCCCACAACCAAACCCAACACAAGAGAAGAGCACTAAGGAATTGAATTATCAAGGGTTTGCAAGACCTCTAACACACATTTCATAACAACAATCTTTGTTCATAACATAATGGGCATCATAATAATCAGACAAATTACATGATAGATTTTGCAATCATGAAAATGATTGTAGATTTTTCAATATTTGTTATTGGCTTCTGGGTCTTCCTCTCACATTACCAGCTAAAAGGTTGGCTCCACAGCTATTTTCTTGAATACACTCTTTTCTTTTTATAAGAACAATTGAATAAGAACACGAGCCTCAAAATTGGTCAAAAGTTGAGAACAAATTTTGAACAATGTTTTTTCTCAAAATCGACGATTTTTAACCATGTGTGGGTGCTTTTTTGGTGAATATTCAAACCTGTCGGCAAATGAAGGCTGTCTCATTCACTTTGTTGGCAAATGAGGCCTGACTACCTCCCTAGAGCGAAAAAGCTAGCACTCGAGCTGCCTACACCCTATTAGATCAAGAAAAAAGTAAGAGCAATCAAGCCTCAGATTTTTGGAAAAATTTAGAACAGTCAGCCTAAACATAAATTCATTGGTTATTATTAAAAAAAGAGTGTAATAAAGCGTCCTATATTCTCAACATGTAAAGTACATAGCTTCATTACGCAGGTTTTGGCCATTTACATTTTAAAATGCAGCAATTTCTAATTCATCTTTTGCTTCTACGTAACTTATTCTTTCGAGGGTTAGGGGGTAACCAAGATTTGCTGTAGAGAAATTTCGTTGTAAAGTGTTTGAATTTCAGACAATTTATCTGTTCACATATAGGACTGATAATTTTAAAATAAGGAATATAATACTTGATGAACGGGTTGGGTGAAAAATTACCAAATCCAAAGTTAAGGTCCTAAGACAGCCACATATCCTTATGAAATAAAATTATGCATCACAACAACAACCACTGCAGGATAAGGAGTGTTTGGTTTCGATTTGTTGCCATGGTGTTTGGAGCTGAGAGGCAGCCAGCGTTAGAGGTACCGACCATACGGATTCGAAAATACTTCATTTTCACTTAAAATCTTGCGACTTAGATATAAACCTTTTATCATGTATGAATGTAAAATTGTCTAGGCCAAACCACAGTGGGCTTGAAACGTAAAAATACCGCAAACCCATCACCTGATATACTACCACAAACCATTTACATTGTATCGCATTCAATTGTGTCAACCTTTGGTTTATTCATTAATGAGTTGCCAAGTTTTCATTCAAGAAAAGTAAATATAGTATCTACGCTTATTTCGTTTGAATATTTTTGGATAACCACGACAAATAGGGGACATTTAGGTTTCCTTTGGAGCAGACAAGCTGATATGGTCTGAAAAAATTCAAAATCTAATAAGCCTTTAGACTTAATCACGATTAAGATTTGCTATCGTCAATAATGTTAATCGTTGTTTCTCACTAGCGATACAGATCTGTCGAGACAACCCTCTCAACACGGGCCCGGGCGGCCCAGCAGCATGTATGTGTAGTCCAGCCTCTACCCATCCCTCCCCCTATCTCTTCAAAATTTGGGTATACGCCCTTTAAAAATGATATCAACATTGAGCTGGGGGAGAGGGTGAAAAATCGCAACATGGTCTGTCCAAGATTGTACATTATATGCACTTAAATGTTTTCATAGAATAATACACAAAAAAATACGCAATTGCGAAATTTTTGTTCTGGTGCATATGCTTTTGTAAAGCTTGTCTATATTAACACATAAGCCTCTTGTTCTAGTGTTTGTGTTTTTGTCGCTAGTAAGGATTGAGCTTAAAATGTTATCTAGCTAGTAAGGAACTAACAACTTAACAATGCTATTATCTAAGCAACTTAGGCGCATTCGCAAAAGCCCCACAACCATAATGTGATGAATTTGAAAGTTGGAACATGTGGCTTATAAGCGTGATACAGCGAATTTTCTATGTAACAAACATCTCTGTGACAAAAATACTGCCCAGAGCAGACAGGTAGGTTCGTTTACAAGTTCGTCAAAACAAAAGGCCGAATCTAATGATCAGGCAAAGCCAATGGGAAAATGGCATAATGTTGCAAAAAACAGATGAAGAAAAAAATGTAGATTCACAGAAGGGATTGGGGACCAGTTTATAAGTGAAAACCGATATCTTATGTTGCTGGATGGACAAACTGAGACCCTGCGAAAACATCCGAGTAGAAAAATTATATCCAAATCTATCTAACAATGTAACATATTCGTTTCCGTGGTTACCATTACTTTGACAACAATTATGCTCTTAACCTCTGACCCGTGTCTGCTTCTCCGGGCTCCAAAGATGAGGAACAACACGTTCTAAAACTGGACGATCACGTAACAGATTCAAATCTGTTACGCCAAATGGCAAATTAACTTGAGGCAAGCCCCCAGGATCTAAGATTCTTCTATTCTGTGGTTATGTTTTGTCTATATTTGTCTGCCATGATTTCAATCGTTATTTACAAAATTTACAATATTGCTTGATTGGACTTTCACAAATCAGTTGATTCGAAATAGCACTTTTCTGGACGCTAATCGATGCCTTATATGGACATTATCCCGACTTTGCATTTTTTCGACTATTTGTCCACTATGTGTAAGCTTATGGAGAGCTTTAAGGCGGGGTGGGGGAGGGGATCGGCTTCCCAGTCACCTTGCTCCTGCTCGAAATTTTGTTTTCAATTGCAACGAGCTCTCGTCTTGGGCAAGCTGACGGGAGTGTCTGAGCCAGGAAGGGAGCTAGAGGCGCTGTAACCCCTCCCTATTTTGCTGAAGTATGATGTTAATGTTGTAGCATCAAGGATAATGGTGAAAAAACTACCATTAAAGTTGCCCCCCCCCATCCCTTTACCCGGCGTCCCTGAAACAAGGTGTTCTCCAATTGTCTCCAACTGTTACTGTTAACACGGCATTGGGCTCGAAACCTGTTTTGTTCTCTTTGTGTTCCGGGCAATCTGTAATTGCTCTTTGTAAAACAAACTGTTTTGATAAATTTTAATCATTACCTCTTAGAATAATTTTTCATTTATCTACATATATTAAATAAATGGCAATTACGTGGCTGAATTGCATGAATTTGAAATTATAAACCGTGACATTTTCGGGGTATAATGGTCACACTGGCTAAAATTCCTGGTGAGGAACGGCCACGATATTCTTTAGATACAGGCCCCAAGCTTTAATAAGCAAAAAAACAAATTACTCAGTCAAACTAAAAATACGTGCGACGAGAATCAATGGGAATCATCCCTGGCTTTATAAGGTCCAATTTTGGCTGTTTGTTCACCCATGGTCACCGGAGCACTATTTACGGACACGTTTTCATTCCTCTTTGCCCATAACAATGGTAAAATATAAACACCTTTCTGTCTAAAAAATTATGAATAGACAATCTTGTTCGATCGGAAGTTTAGTGGATAGCATGTGTAAGAAGATAAGGAAGTGCTTTTCTGCATGAAACATCACAAATTTGACTTCTTCGTAAATCAAAAACCAAAAATAAACAAAAGGACGCTTGATAAAACTAAACTTATTACGTGATGTGACTAAGGAAAGCACCCTGCAGTTTAACAACAATAACGAAGATTGTCATTGCTAGGCCTAGACAGCAGAATCAGTGCGGGATAAATTTTAAACAGATAAATGATTATTATTTCGTCAAATATTATCAGACCAGTAACAATGACACTAGTTATATAACTAGGGCGAAAATTATTTTCGATAATGCCCACTAACTTACTTCCAACGTCCCGTGTTTATCAATTTGATATGAGATAAGAGAACAGAAGACTTATAATCCTCGTTACATCAAAGTATGACCCTTTCATACAATGATAAAATTTGACAAAACAAAAGGCAGTGTACTCACAAAGTCTTGGTGTTGATTGGAAGGCCTTGTTTAGGGACGCTCGTCAATTTCTGATCCGGAGGACGTTGGCATCTGACTATGTGCGAATAACAACTGCAATGCAAAGGGCACGAAGTCACCGATGCCACAAGATCAAGCACGAGAAGCAGCCACAAAGCTTTGTTCGCAGTCATTGCCAGACAAAGTGTATTTGATCGCCACACCAAGAAATGGTTCGATAAAACGACAACTTGCAAATCAGCAAGGCAAAACAATCAATTGGGGAGCCAACCACCCCACGGTTGAAAGCCTTACCCCAATAGGGCTAGCAATACATACAAATGACAGGCTGGCTGCAGTTTAGATTGTAATCGAATCCAGCAGTGTTCTAATACTCCATTCTGTTCAATCAGACCTACCGGAAGTATCCCTTGCCAAATAAACGTGAATTGTTTCCGGTTATATTTGATTGTTCATTGTGGCAGGATGTGGAGTAACCGCCGACAGTGCTCCTTCGCAGATGTGCCTTGTAGGAGGCCTGTATAATCAAAACAGAACATGAATTATTGTATAGAGAGTACAATAGTCACTGTACTGTTCATTTCATTTCATTGCATTTCATTGCATTCACTGCTACATACAATTCAGTGAGAATAACTAAAAACACATTTCAAAATAAAGATTAATACAGAAAATTCAAATACCATACAATAACATAGAAACAAACTAAATTTCATGGAGGGAATTATTTAGAGGAGGAACTCTCAATAGTTAGATTACTAATTGGGGAGAGGGATACGAAGCTTTTCACGCTAGTACAATGGGCAACTGGTCCAAACTTTTCTTTTAAGCGTGTGCATGTAGTTTGTCATACAAATGCCTTTAGGCCTTCGAACGCAGAATGCGCGAAGAAATCTGATACGACTGTGCTGCTGACCATTTTATTTTTGAATTTGTATTACCTTCCTTTTTTGATAGAAGGATGCGGGGCTCTCTAATTCCCTAGTATATTATGATTCTGATTCTCTGATTATTAGATATAAGGTGTCAATATTAAAAAACTAAAAAAGCTCCTTGTGCAGTTGAATTTGAGACAACTGCTCATTAGTGCAGTCGGATTTTCATAAATTCTCAAATCAAATATCCCTGAAAATATTTCGATCAAATATTGTTCACTAAATTAGGGAGAAGGAAAATCTCACTTACTTTGAGGTGTTTTAATGCAAATAATCGTGCGGTGCAAAAGGAACTCTTTTTGCAAGTGACGGGGCCATCTGATTGTTCGGAGCTCAACTGAAAAAGAATGCTGAAGGCGTTTGCCGTATCATATGAACTGTGTATTTTAAAGTGACTTCTTGTGCTGGCTCAATTCCTGAAATCTAAATTCAAAATAAAGACATTTTTGAAAAACCTGTTTGAAATACTTTTGAAAGGACCTTTTTAAAGTGAAGACGGGAGCATTTTTTCTTATTCAAGAGCAACACGGAACAAGTACAGACTAACCCCTGGCAATCCTCCAATTGTGCGCCAAAATTTATGCATATTTATATGCTTAAACAGAGAGTTTTAAACCGAGTTTGCAGTGCACGCACAATTTATGTTCCAAATTTTTAGGAGTAGCTATATCTTGCAAGTCTCGTGATGACGTCAACAAATTTCGATGGCAACTGAAGCATTATCCTAAAGCTTTTGGTTTGATGTTTTAGAATTCAAAATACTGAAATAGTATGTTACAAAAGAACACATCTCTTGTTTTCAGCGTTTTGAATTCAATATTCGTGCAATTTTGAACCCTCTGAACAGGCTTTGTAGGGAATAGACTTAGATAGATCTACTACTGAGAGTAGCAGTTTGAAGAATTTGTGATGAATTAGGACAATAAAATCTTTTTGTGTTTCAAGATATAAAATTCAGCAAACAGTTTACAAAGTCCTTTGAAACGAGTCTATTGTTTATCGTTATCATCCTTCTTATTACCAAACAAAACTGATTCATTTCTTGTGAACTTGCGGAAAAGGGTCTGTCATCTTTAGAGACTTTTCGTTATATCCAAATGCTTTTGAGGGAAGGTACCTCTTCTTTCTAAGATATGTTCCTATTACAATGAATCTTTATATCTTTGAATCTATAAAGCTTAATGATGATATCTATTTTTAATGTTATTATATATCACCAAAGGGGCGAAAAATTGTTGAAAATTACTTATTTCGATTTTGACTGTAGAAGAAAACCCACTGTGAATGATTTCTATTTAAATAATACACAAAAAGACTTTTGAAGTCAAAATAGCCCACGGGGAACTTTCATTCCAGAAAATTATTGGTTTTGATACGAGAGTCGATAACATGGTCCCAGGGGGGACTAAACACATAGACATACAGGGGGGTCAGTCCAAGAATTTTATAGACCACCCAAAAGTATCAGCTCATTTTCAAAAGACCCAAAAATATCAGTTCTACTTAAATCTTATACCCAAAAATATCACAAATTGTAATTTCAGAAGATATAGTATCACATGGCTGTAGCATTAAAACTTCCAGAGAGTATGGTCACATGACTTGCAATGGGTAAAAAAAACTTCAGCCGATGAACAATACATTTGATTTAGATATGGAAATCTCACAAAAACCCAAAAATATCAGGGTTTTATTAAATTTGATACCTAGAAATATGAGAATTGTATCTATTGTTTTTGCAGGACCCAAAAATATCATTTCTGATAAATATTTAACCCAAAAATATCACTTTGGGTAAGCATTTGACCCAAAAATATCGGACAGACAGACAGAGTATGTCTATGTGCTGAGTGCTCCCCCTGGGAACATGGTATCTGAATCGGAGACTACTGTTTAGCTTTGACTGTATTTGGCCTTAATTCCTTGAATTGTGAATTCTGCAAATGCAAAAACATTTGTGTCCGTGCCTGGCAAGTCAATCTTATTTGACACGACTAGCAGATTATGATAACCACGCCTATAAGAGTCGCTTAGAGGCCTATTGCCCTGGAACCAGGTACAGCACTTACAGTATCAATATGGTGGAGAATTCGCTAATGGCAGGTTATTAGAATTAAGTGCTTTTATGATAAAGTCTTGCGTCGGTTTTACTATTGTTTACAGTTATTCTGACAGAGATTATGTCATATAATGTTTTAGCGAAGGAGCCAGGAGCATCGATCTAAAGTCAGTTTTTCAAACATTGTTGACCAACCTATTAGAAAAGGGACGGGTTAATAATGCTATCTTTGATATCTGGCCTTTTTGGTCAAGTGGTAAACGAGACCATTAAGAATCACGGTGGGCAAAAAAGCAGGACACAAGGGGAGATTAATCTTATCTTTTGAAACGTGTTATCAGTGAAATAAACTATTCTAACAATTTGGAAAGAATATCAAATTTGAATTTAGGTACATGAAAGATGAACACTAAACGATAAATTCTTGACTTTAAGCTCTTCCTCTCCAACAACATTGATCTACGGTATAAAGTTTTACTATAGTGGGAAGTTTTCTCTATCAAAATAGTAACCGCGTTATGGATAGAGATCGATGATTGGCTGAATCAAGGAACCAATGAAAAGCGCCATTCCAATATCTCAAGTCAAGGTAAAAAAGCGCCTCTTTTATCCTTACCTGGGTTTGAAGAGATTGAACAAGTGTTTTCAATAAGCTGCAACATGAATACGATTTCCATGCCATTTTAATATTTGTGGGAGCAAAAAGGAGGAAGAAGGGAAATGGAAGGCAGTCACAACCCTTCAATTATATGCATGCACTTCGCTCCAAGATTAGACACAACAATACTGACCATCCCAAAAGTCAAGAAACTGCCCAAAAATAAATTTCAAGGATGGGAAAGAAGCGATTTTTTCAACTCCTTGCAATTGATAAGGTGTAATACCTGATGTTATCTTGTGAATCGTTTTTGTGCTTTTAAAGTTGTTGTTAGGACATTCAAGTAGTATTTGATAACCTTTTAAGAAACTATATGTACTGAAGTCAACAAAACATTAATTACCTCAACACTAGTCCTCAAGGGCGTTGTGGCTAGGCGGTGCACCGGGAGATTTCAAGTGACTTTGTAAAAACCAGGAAAATTTTTAAAGGGAATAAATTCTTTGGTGAAATAATCGCTCATCTATATAAAAACCGAAACTCATAGTTATGAACTGGAGACTTGGAGATCAACTTGAAGGAAAAGGGCCCCGTGAATGGGGTGCGTGGAATTTGAAAGGAATGAAAGTCAAGCAGAAGATGACTTGGGCAACCTGATGGCAGGCCCTTTGCTTTCGAGAATACTGTGAATCTAGGAAATTGCCTCTGGAAGTTTATTAATAAGATAGTTTTCAGATGGGCATATTTGCTGGGAGCATCTACGAGAAGGCGCTTACAAAAGCAGAAGCGGACTGGCCAATGGCTGGCTTTTATAGTCACTCCGCTTATGCTCATAACATTTTATTCCAAACATAAAAGGCTGCTCAATTTAGTCCGGTTTCCAGTCATGCTCTGCTTACAATCACAACTTTTCATGCAACATTCAGTGTGATTTTAAAAGTCTTCTTAGAAGATCCCCAAAAAGCAAAGAGATATAGCGAGATCTAGCTGCGTTTTTAGCCTCGAAGCTTAAAAAAATCGAAGAGCTGCAGAAATGCCCTTTCAAAGATCTCCAGCTTAGCAAAAATTGACCGAAGAACTCTCAAAGAAGTGCCTTTGTTGTGCCTTTACTATTTATGCTGTTATACCCATCTACCCTGCTTGCACCAATAGCAAAATATCAACTTTCTAGGCCCCTTCATGGTGATTTCCTCTCGGCCATTTTCTAGGAGCCACAACACCCCTGCTAGTCCTGAACCCTGCGCTTTGTTTTTTAAAAAAAACACCAGTACATGAAGACATATGCTATATTGATAATCAGACAAGCTTTTTGTTTTCACCGACCATAACTGTTTCTCTACCAAATTACCAAAAAGCAAGTGGGTTCGGAAGATGGTCATTCAGGTAAAGATTCAAGCACCATTGGAAGCTATATTTGTCATTTTATCAACATATTATTTACTTTCATTACAAGCTAAATTCCAATACTATTTCCCACTGTTTATTAAGATTATCCGATTTCTAAGTATACCCTCTAAAAACCAATACATGCATTTGAATAAGTGTTGAGTTTGTGAAAAATCTAGAAAAATCTAACCAGGGCCTTAGATAAATATCTTGACACTAGTAGGGCTTTACAAATTAGAGTAAAGCCTCAACTAAAGGACACTTCAAAAAACGGGCACACCCAAATAAATTACAAATTATATCTACAAATTGTATTCTGCAACAAATCTGCTTAACAGTGAATCCTGCTTAAAAAATTCACCAGGTAAGCTTTCAGTCATATTGGCCCACATTCTGGCTAAAATCGTCAAAATCAAACCGCCCATTGGCAGTTGGACCATCAGAGGGGTCAGTTTTACCACAATCTATTTCCTGGACACTTTAATGTGTCCATGATGAAGTTCCTCTGGACCCTCTGCATTCTTCAGAATTACGACACGCCTAGACTTCAAGTGCACAGTCTATACGCACAATATCAGTTGTGGCAAGTATAATCTTATTCCTTGGCTGACACTCCAATATATTGTAACCTGTTGCTGATGGGAAATCAATGCCACAACAGGGAAAAATCACGATGTTATCCCTGTGTAGGGCGTTTCCATCCCACTGCCGATGACGTCACTAACGGGTTCCTATACAATCTTGTGCCTAGTCTTTTAGCCTTTGCCGTTGTCTTCTCGCACTTCCTGTGTTAATCTACCAGGGGTTAGCTAAAGTGGGAGGACAAACAAATAGCCATTGCTCTCGGACGTTTCAACAGGATATACTGCAAAAAATGGATTACAAGTCATTTTCTTTACAGTGGTCCCTCTGCTTTCAAGTTCAAGGTGCAGGCTCTGATACGAAAACCTGATCTTGCAGACATTCACTGAATATTACGTCATCCGCAGCAACCGACTCCTGATAGTGACGTCATGAAGATAAACTAACAACAACACTGCAAATTTGAGAATATAAAAAGTTGGCTTCACAGGCCCGATATGCAGTGCATTATGTGCATTCATGTGACAACAGTTATTATAAAAATTGCGAACACATTCTAATGTTGCTTCTAACAACACTAGTTGTAACATACGCACCTTTTATCCATAGCTAAATTTACTTCACACTATGCCAAGCGTTAAAAGAGCAAAATTCTTTTCTCTATAGGTTTCCTGCACATTGGGCATTCTCTTACACGGTCCCCGCAAAACTGGCAGGCCCCGTGGCCACAAAGAAATATCAAGTTGCGTCGACGGTCCATGCACACTGGGCACAAAGTCTGCAATAAACAAAAAATCAAGCGATATGAAAACTCACTCAAAATGGCGAAAATCGTCAAATGTACTTAATCTTTTCGTATGACAATCTTCAGAGCATAAAACGTCAGAACATAAATAAAAAACTATTCGGTACTTAATACTCTGAAATTTTTAAAGTGTCTCGCAAAAAGCTTTAGTATGCTTCAAAATTTCTGCTTTTCTGAAAGAACTTTTAAATTCTGTACCAACTGTTTGGAAACTCGCTCACTTGACCAAAAATGAAATACACACATGGTGAGGCAGGCAGATAACTATTTCAAAATGAAGAGAACAGACACTGTAAGCGATGATGTCATCAGGGATAACTCTTTTTGTCACTAGGAAAATGCTACGTAAAATAATAGTACAAAACTAAGATAAAATGGAACTGCTAACATGCCAATAGGTATGTAGGGGCAACAGATACTCCTCGAGAAGAGTAACTTCTGTTAAAAATACTTTGTATACACTTCAAATGTAATTAGGAAAGCTCAAAATGTACGCTCAACAGAAGCCTCGTTGTGTTTGCATAAGTCATGGGTCTGGAGAAGGAGGAAAACAACTAACTATCTCTACTTTTTACAAACATCCAGTTATATTTTTGTCTAAATATTATATTGCAATTTCAAATCTTTATAAAAAAATCAAGCCAGAAGTTTTTCTCAAACATTTTGAAATTGAGTTTCAAGAAAAACGCTTTTCCCCACCAGTCCACATTACTGAACCAAAGTCTACCTTTACGTCATATCTCATTCTTACTGTATGACAAAGATTCCCAAATAGCTGGCAAATACCTGGTCCTTAATTTCCTTTAATTGCTGTTTTAATTGATTCACTTCATCATTGGTTACGTTGCTGTCTTTACTCAAATTGTTTGGCTTATCAATCTTACTTGAATCTAGAAAAAACAAAACAGTCAATGAATTGTATAAAACAGGACCAAAGACTCTCCGCCAAGCAAATCATTGTAATTCAGTCTTGGTTGTAGAATTTATTAACCCGTTCGAAACAACAGCAATCTTTTAGTAAAACTGAGGTCGTTCACTAGCCACATTTCTGTAACTGAAAACAAAGTTATCTGATTTTGCATATGTAGAAATGCTTTAAGGTACTTTGTGACTAGAAACAATAAGGCTTTCACGTGCTCTCAACTGTCGTTTCAAATGAAGATTTAACAGTGTTATGTGAAACTTTTGATCGATTAAATATGGCTTGGTACTAGTAACAGGGATACAAGAAACATTGGCTATCATAACGGATAATTCCTTCAAAAATTCTTTCAATTTAACAAGTTTAAATAGAAAACTATATTTAGAATGGCTTTTGGTGACCTGGCGCAGTTTCTTAAAAAGAAAGAACATAATATTTTTGACCAAGTCATAATTTGGATTAAAGATAAAAGGTAAACTAATACGTGCGAACAAGCTGAACACAATTTACCGTTGAAGCCACAAAGATTAGAGTAATTCACGACATTCTCAATGGGTGTTCGACACTGCACGCATTTCTTCATCAGCTGGGAACAACCTAGAAGAGGCAAAGAGGTTTCATTACATCACAAGTCAGAAGATGCACCATTCAATTCAATTTGTTTCGTATAATATAAAGTGACAATTCCTGGTTATTGGATTAAAACCTTGACTGTACCAAGGGGTTGCCCCCTTTATAATGCATAAACCAGTTATTTTATTCATTTCAACTGTGTTTTAGGGAAATTCTTGCACCATACCCCTAGCTCCTCCTTAGAACCGAGGACTCCCTTCGCCTCTTCATAGCACTAAACCCCTAGTTGAACCAACCACAGGAAGTACAGCTGCAGTCCCAGTTTATCCACCTAAAAAGCTGATCAATCAAGTTTCAGCGAAAAGGCCATACTCCTTAATGAATAGGAAGAGTACAATGTCAAATTGGAAAGGCAGGGGGATGTACGTAAAAAAGACCAGGACCTAATAAATCAAAGAGGCAGAGATTTGAGCTCCAGCTTAAATAAATTCACTGTTAAGCTAAGCTATAGGCATCCTCCTCCCTTCCAGCCCCCCCCCCCCCCCCTGCTGCACTGCTAACAGCTAAAAAGATAGATTGCAAAGACGGGGAATGCCTTATTCACTGAAAAGCCTTTGGAATGTTAATATTTCTTTACAATAGTTGAAAATAAAATACGACTCTAACACCGTGATCTGAGAAGCAGAAAAGCAAGAGCTGAAGGCTTAAAATTGACTGTTAGGTTAAAATTGCAATACCATAACCAACATCTCTTTAAAAGGTTTTTACTGCTTTAGAGCAGATCATACACACGTCCGAGAGAGAAGAGGCCACACAGTTAGTCTTCTGGACACAAAATTAGACTAAAAAGCCGATGCTGACTGACACGAGATTCAAATAATTCTGGCTGCAATACATTTAACGTCCTATGCATCTAGGTAACACTATAAAGTTGTTTGCGGCAAGCGATATGCCAGAAGAAATGTGATCTTACTAACCTAATCTTGAAAGTCGATCTAATTTCAGAAAATCTTTCAATTCCTACGACTCCTTTGATTATTAATCTACTTAACACATATTTTGAGTGCAAGAAAACTAGACAAATGGCAATAAATTGCAATGTAACTACAAGTTAAACTTGGGCAAAGAAAGGAGAATAAGTTGAATACCCATCTGCCATCACTGAATTCTGTCTTTACTCTCTCGTATTATTTAAAAATAACTGGTGCTAAAAACTATGCCATAAAGTTTTCACGCAATTGTTTACAGTGCCGTCGGAACGAAATTTATATTGGGGGGGGGGGGGGTGCTACCCACTGTATTCCTTTTCATTTAGTACAGTGTTATAAAGGAAATATACTACAGTTTGACAATTATTGGGGTTATTCAAGGAATGTTTTAGTGCAAACGTAGGTAGGAGGAAATTCGCTGGCCTACACGAATGTGATGGAATGTTTTTACTGACATGAGTAGGATGAAACAACACAAATAAAATGTAAAGATTGTCAAAATTTCTGATCAAGAATCTTTTCAGCGTTGTGCAAGTACCTAAAAAGGAGTAAAACAACACCATGAAACAATGTCGTAGAAATCAACTTTGAGTATCTCACCGCTACATGCGCAAATATGGCCACAAGGCTTGAAGAGTATACTGGCTTTCTTGTCAGAGCAAACGACGCATTCTTCGACCTAAAAGACAAAACGTTCTATTATCCTTTTTAGGCAAATTTCTAAACCATTCAACAAGCCTATAAACAATTATGATGATGATTATGTCAATCAGAGTATTTTCCCCACAAAGCAAAACATTTCAATAGCCAAAATATTCTGGTTTTTAAAATTACACATTTACCCCCTTCCCCCCTTCTTCGTAAGCTCTCAGATTAAAAACTTCAATAATTATCCTTCTTGAAAAATATTTGAATAAAAGACTACTTATTTTCACCTATTTTACACATTCGTACAAACAAGATAATCCGAGAATGATCAATATTCTCTATGATTGAAATACTTCACTCCCTTTATTTTATCTTAGTAAAGAATGTGGTTTATCTTTATTCATTCTTAGGTTAAAAAAAAGACAGGCAAATAATTTCGCATCTTTCTTTCCTATTAAACATCTTAACATTATGATATGAGCCCGTACCTCAGGTAGATGCAGGTTGAATTGTCAAAAGCCTAACTATGAGTGCAAAAACTCTATTTTATAATAGAAACGTAAATGTATTGTTCTCAAAATCGCTACATCATCAAATGGTGTGTAAAAACACAAAAACATGTAGAAGTGTAATGAAACAAGACTGATCTCTGGCACCTTTATTCTTGATTGCACTTGCACTTTGCAAATTAAACATCTTTTTACACGTGGCGAACACAGCGAACACGTCGCGATATGATTGCAAGGTATGAATAAAGTATCACGCGGCATGTCGGAACAAACAATACATTCGTGTGAGATATCTGAAGACATATCAGCTGCCTTTGGATTCGTGTTTTTGTTACTAAGATTTTCCCCTTCAGTCCTGAGATGAAAAGAGTGAAATGTTACAGACATGATTGAATCGAAAACAAAGCAACAATTACATATTATTTCAAATATGAATAAACTTAATCAATAATCAGGCAATCATTTATCAATTGAAACATTTTTCAAATAATTCACATTCCCAGAAACAGTACATTCCCATCATTTTAACCAAAAATATAATCATTTGTACGACTTTCCCAAGGACAAATCACAGCTGCCTTCAAAATAGTTAAAAAAGATCTGTCGATAAAAAATGTAAGCAGTCTATCTTTAGACGTCTTTATCAAATAGCCTTTGTTCTACTACAAGCAATGTTATTCGCACACCGCCAAATCTGAAGAAGCTATTTGCACCTTGAACTGTATGGTACCAAAACATTACTAACGAATTGGTTCCACTTTCAACGTCACACGAGTAGTGAAAAACATCCAATGGGTCATTCCATGACGTCAAGCGGTCAGACAAACACACCACAAAATATTCACCCACCTCGGTCTTGCCAAATGGCATTTGCCAAGTGCTTTGCAGAGGTTAGGGTCGGGACATAAATCTAGTGGAGTTTGATCTTTCTTGTTTTTCAGCGTGAGGTTAGCACCATGCGCTGCCAAAAAGCAGGCTATTGATGCACTGCTTTTTTTCTCTGAGCCAGGCATGCCAAAACCCATGAGAAGCTAAGCAAAAAGAAACTGATATTGTTAATTTCAATATAATAACAGCCATAAAGTAGATTCTGCAGTTGCCAGATGATCGCACTAAGCATGAAACTCGGAGTAGCAACTTAAACCTGTCCTGTTCTATACACCATAAAGCGTGTACAGCTCTGCATATACAGTATCGAGCACTATATGACAGACCGGTAAACAGTAATTTTCATTAATTTTTGAAAAACATGTATTTTTACAAAAGCGTTAGCGTTACACTGAAAGTTGGTCCTCATAACACAATCCCATTCTCAACCAAAGACATTCACAAGATAGGAGAGTCAGAGATGCAGCATGACAATTTCTTGCACACAAAATGATACACACATTCGTGGGAACGTTACAAAAGAATTTTTGCACACAAAAACCATTACATTATTAAAGGAATAGCCTGAAGTATGCATAATACTTTCTTTACACGTATCTGATATTATGATACATCGTCGACTTCCGACTCCTTGTGTATTTAAAGCCATGGTTGCCACAAATTATAGTTAACTGAATCAAATACTTAGCATGAAAATCGCATTATGTTAAGGGTTTTAGAAACAGTTCTAAATCCTGAATTTACACCATTAATAAGCTTGGTAATCATCACCGGAATAATCCTTCAAAGAGGAAAGAAAACCATTATCAGTCGGTTAGTATCGATCAAATCTTTAAATTGCCTTAATCAAATCAGTGCAGTTTAATCCTTAGCATAATCTGCTTCGTAATATAATTTTCTAAAGCTGAGTAAACCTGTTAACACTCAAACCCAATATTTTATTGGCGGGTTAAAATATTCAGACTATCCAATAGAACAATAGAAAATTGAACAATAGAAAAAATCGAACCTTTCCAACATCTTTCACGTCCTGCAACTGCTTGAGTTGGAGCAGTGTATGGTATCTAAGTGCTTCATGTAACGGACTGTCACCATCCTTGTCCGGGACATCTAGCTGGGCACCTTCCCTCACTAGCAACTGTAAACACGAAATCTACTTACTCAAAGTCTTTTTAATCTTACTGGCAAGATCGCCTTAGGACGCAAAGAGGTCCTAGTCACCGAAAGTTGTTAAAAACCCTATAGAAATTGATTTAGGCTCCTTTGAAAATCTGGTTGAAAAATCAAAACACTGTCAGCCATGGCTACGATGACTTAGCTAAAAACTGCATTGTGTGTTACAACCTGAAGTGTTATAATCTGAAAAAATGTAACTTTTAGAAAAAGTGTTGTCTGTAGGAAAACATTTCTGTCTGCAGATCGATATGAAGATTTATTTGTCCAAATTGGATGTGAAACTATTTTTATAAAGGAATATAAAAAGAAAATGAATCAGTCGCATTATAGCTGTTATTTATGGGAGAATAAAAAGAAAAGCTGTGATGGGAGATGGGTTTTGGAATAACAAGCAAATCAAGATTAGGAAAAGAAAGAGAAGACGATAACCCATAAAACCTATGGGTAAACAGGCAGAACATCTTGGTATCATCAGCAACTTTCTTACCCTGACAATCTGTGTATGCTGTCGCTGCACAGCAAGATGCAACGGTGTCTGCAAATTCAGATTCTGAATATCCTTATCAGCTTTGCCCTTCAGAAAAACAAAATTAATTTTCAGTAAAATAACAAAAACAGCTTGTCTGCTTGACATTTTTGGCATCTTTTATTACTCTATTTTCTCACTCTTCGCAATACTGACTTGGTATAGCGTAACAGAGCATTTGCCAAAGATATTAATATACAAAATTCTTCCCTAAGGCAGACATAGGCTTTGCAGATTACTTTTGTTCAGTCCTCTAAAAGCGTCTCTGTTGAAGTTCAAGTTTCTCTAAAAGATTAGCTAAAAACAGAACAGAAAGAAATATGAAAAACTCAAAGCAACGGTATCTTTTGAATATCTCTACAAAAGTAGAGAGTAACCGAGCATATACGGACAGGAAAACACAATTCCGGACAGGAGACGGAGGCTAAATAGATTACATCGTACAAACTTTTTTATAGGAACACCTAATTATTTGCTGAGCCTCAGTATTTTAAAATTTTTTTAGCCTTAGATTATTCTCCATTTATTCTTCAGCGAAACAAGGTTTAACTGAGTCGCATTATAGTCTTAATGCCTCCAAGAGAGGATATGTCTATTTCAAAGCATATAGCGTGAAACTTGCATGTGATTTGATTTCCAAAAAACTCCAATAAACAAGAAATTTAGTTCTTGATGAAGCTTGAGTCTTGCATTGTTATTTCATTATTATTAAATTTCGACGCTTTTGAAGCTTTATATTCTTATAGGCTATATTTTTATATAAAAAAATGTGTATGTCTCTAGTAAAATGCTTCTAACTGTCAAAACTTCTGTCTTTGGTAGGCAATAGGCAAAATACCTGTTGTATCAGCAGCTCAGCTACCTCCACATGATTGTTTAAAGATGCAAGATGCAAGGCAGTGTAACCATCCTCTTTCTTCTCGTTCACTGCCCTGGGTTGTGGCTTGGTCGCCAGCATGGCCCTCACAGCACTTCAAAGATTAAAGAGAAAATCGTCAGTCTTGCCGGAATAGTGATGTGAGAACTTAGGTGTCAGTGAAACCCAAATATGCATGATAACAACAAAAGATACGTTACCATATGATCTGTTATGATTCCTTGCGCTACGTTATCCTACGTTACGAAACGTTACGACTGTTTTGCGAGGCCTGGTTGACTAGACATTCAATAGGATCTTCCTACCTCTTCTCGCCCAACACTCTATTAGAAGCAAGGTTAGAATAGACTTGGCAATAGAAAATCAAAAAAACTGTTCTCTAACGCAAAAGAAAGGGTGCAAAAAGCTTGATACATTAGACATGTATCTATTTATCTATTCTATTACCAAATTCGTGGTAAAAACAGCAAAAGACTGGTTGCTTTTGACATGCCTACATGCCTACAGATGGGGGGTTGTCTTCTCCACAAAAACGGTACAGTCATAATGGATAGTATTGATGGGAACGGGGAATACGCTTCCTCCCTGGCGACTGCAACGATAATAGCAATTATTATAATCGTGATTGCTTACCCAAGGTTTCCACGAAGCGCTGCATGGTGGAGGCAATTAAAGCCATTTTTGTTTGCAATTGTAATGTCTGATTTGAAATCTAGCAGGAGCTTCACCATATCATCTCGGCGTTTTGTTATGGCATCGTGTAGAGGAGTGTCGCCTTCAGAATCCTACAATGGAACCATACAATATTATTGTTCTTGTTAAGAAGCTTCTAAAATGAATGATAATTGTATCAAAAGGGCAAAGCGAGGATTTCTTTAGTCCATAGATCAAAATGTGCATTTCTAGCAAACCATACTATTTGCAGCCAAATTGGAAAAAATTCTAGCTATCATTTAGAAGAAGAAGGGAAAAATAGCAGAACCATTTGTAGGTTTATCAACCAATCCGAAAGGTTCTAAAATATCCACAAAAGGCACTCATGATGCGACCAAACCCTAACTAATCATTGTCCTTTTCATTCCCATATAGACCCAATAAAACAATGGCTGCTAATAAAATCAATTCAAAATCTTCCTTGGGTATTACAATGAATGCAACAGAATACAAGCAGACTTGAGAACAAACGAAACCTGAAAGTTGGCTCAATTTTGGCATACTGTCAAAATCGTGGTAATCTCTGCATACACAGGGTTGATATACGGTTAACAGCTCACCTCTAAGTTTTAAGCCGAATTAAACGAAAGGTAGAAATGAACTATCTTGACCAGTCGTAATACAATGTTATCAAAGTCACTTTTTCAGGAGGCCCAGAAACATTGAAAATTCATTAACCTTGAGCAAGAAAGTGATTAAGACAGTGTATGCCCACGCCCCATCCCCCGGCCTCTTAGTGAAGCAGCCTATACTCTAAATAAAAGCTTTTTAAAAAGAATGTGAAAGAGCGTGATACAAACAAATGATTAAACGTAATCTCTGACCTCCCTAATCATACAACTTAAACGATGAGCTTTATTAGATCTTCAGACCATGATACATCTAGCCTGTATAACATCATTAGAGATTGAGCTTCTGTTATCGATATTGTTCAGTAACCCGCTAATAATATTTCAATATCAGCTAATATAATACAATATAGTTAAATACTTTATGCTAATCTTAGCTTCATTGATAAGTATTATTTCATTGATCAATTTCTGTAAAACCTCCCGGTTTCCTGGTTCACCGATCCAAGGAATTCTCTGGTTGAACACATTGATGTCATCAAATTTTAGATGGCTCCTACCTGAATGTGGAGTGTATATCAATCTGTCACTTTGATTTCTATGATTGTAGCTTTTTGGTGATGCTTACTTAAGAAACATTACCAATTGGGCTTTGATTTTTCATTTTAGCTAACAGAAAAACTAAATTTTTATCCCAGCAACTTGGAACTAAAACTCGTTTTTCCTCGTACCTTTTCAATTACAAATCAAGAGCAGGTAATAACGACAATTAAGAATTTTAAAGTGCTTTAAAAGTTTTCTCTTATAAATTTTTCTCTTGGTGATGGTCAAGGTTGGATCTTAATTCAACATATATATAATTCAAGGACCTTTTAAATACGATCTTTGCTCTTCGAAACGGGATAGAACTTAACGTCTTCAGCCTAATCGCAGCACTACCAGTAAATACATAGAGTATTTGTGTGCTAACAAGGCAGGATAATCTTCAAAAATGTGGAACATCGCAAAATTCACCAAATATGCAATTTTCTTTGGAGGGAACGTTTTCAAATTAATAAAGCGTATAGCAAATGCTAAATAAAGCACTTCACTTCTGAAATTCTGAATTAAAACATCAAATAAAATTTTTAAAGAAATCTTTCACAGAGAGTCATAAAATTATAGATTGGGCTTGGCCTTTGTAATCAAAGTTTTCTTTAAGATTCATAATTCAAACCTTGAGCAAACTATTCAAGACGGTATAATTTTAGATCTAAAAGAGGTCATTAGTTTAGAAAGTATTAAGGAAACAACCACTGGACATGATTCGGGATGACCCGGGTCTAGGAGACGACTTCTCCAGATGGAATTATCTTGAGGTCCATCAAGAGTGAAAAAATCACGATAACAGAAAGTTTGTAACTATCTATACTTTGAAAATCATAAAGTGACCTTTACTTCATATAACTATTGTTAACAATCGAAATAATAACAGGTCTAAAACCCGAAAATCAAAAACAGGTCTAAAGGAAATGAATCAATATACAGACGTACTTGCAGACATGGATGACTCTTTAGACTAAGCAAGCATTTAACTGCACCAGCATGGCCCTTGTTGATGGCAACATGCAACGGAGACTGGCCTCTCTTATTCCGTACATTCAAATCTGCCCCAGCTTGCGCCAGCAATTCTAGAACGGTTATTTCATCTCCAAAGGCAGCATGATGGATTGCTCTGTCTCCATCTTTGTCCTGTTAGAAAAAACAAGCCTTTAATTCGTTTAGTTTACCTTTTGCATTGATTAATTCGAAGCTTGCTTACAAAAGTCGTCACAGTGAGATAGCAAATACACGCATCCATCAGATGCTCTTTACCCTGCTCTATATCCTACATCCAAAGGAGGAATATCAAATACTTAAGTTTGCTATGTTTGTGTTTTTGTTTGCTAGAGTGATGATTTTTCTTTAATATATAATGTAAGTATCCTTTATAAAAGAAACTCGATGTATTTGCATCGTTTTCGTTTTGAAAATCAAGGGTAAACGATATTCATATATGAGTGGTGTTAAATGTCCCATTTTTATTCAACAGGTTTTGGCAAAGTAGGTTCATATATGCAGGATTTCTAACGTCATTAGTAAGATAACCAGAGTTTGGCTTTTTCATAGGAGGAAGGATGAGTGTTTAAGACAAAATGTTAACAAATTATACACCAGGACAAGTATCGCATTATATCAACAGGGAAACAGCCCTGATCTGAGTTGGCCTCGCTGTGAGGTAGCCCTTATCTTGGTTGGCCTTGCTCTTGGTTGGCCTGGACCAGGAGAAGAATCCCCACCCTTTCACGCTAACCATCTTGTCGCAGTACATCTCTATGTCAACTAAAATGTTTTTGAAGGGAATAAGTTGTAATCACTGTCAGTAATTTTAGAACTTCTAAGGTGAAGTTGCAAAGTTACAGTCGCTGAACTCACCTCTATTTCAAGATCAGCTGCATGTCGAATAAGCAATCTAACAACATCAACTGCACCATTTTGACTGGCTGCTTGCAGAGCTGTGTGACCAGCGAACACACCATTAACCTTAAAATATAGAATTTAATCATTTCAAGGATCGGAAAATTAATCAGTGTCCTCATAATTCTAGCAATGCATAAAGTTGTCAAGATGGTACGTGATTTTTCACAAATCTAACCATTCAAAGTTTTTAACAATTCTTATCTACGTATTGTCTACAGAAAAAAACTTAGATTGAAAGAACACTGTCTTTTAATGTACCCTTCGTCAAAATAAACAACTCTAAAATAAGGGAACCATACTGGTAATTCCCTGTTTCCAAGAAGCTCTTCCACTTTCTGTGCATCACCCTCAGCGGCTGCTTTGACAAGCTCCTCTGTTGGGTCCCTAGAAGTGTGCGACTCGAATAGCTTCATCAGAAGAACAGAGACAGGCTCTACAAAAAATTGAAAAGGTACAATGAATTTTGATCCAAGCAAAGAAAGTTTTACCAAAAAAGTGAAATTGCAAAATATATAAAACCTACAATTTGTTTCTTTCTCCTTAATTACTAAGTCACTTTTAATAAAATGATGTTTGTTTATGTACGTGAATTGCAAATACAAAAGGCATCGATCGCTTCTAAAACAAAGTAACTTGGAAAATCTTAAAAAAATCTTTTAAAGTATATTTAGTAAAAAGCCAAATCATCTTAGTGTTATACAATCCTTACTAAAAAGCTGTTTGAACACTGTTGCTACATTCTACATAATAAACAGGTTTAAAAGCTGACCACCACAAGATCGAACTACCTCTCCAAGTTATCAACACTGTTGCTACATTCTCTCCCCCCTCCCTTTAAATTTTATTTCCTTCATTGCCAGTTTCATGCGTGCAGTCCTAGTTAGAATGCCACTGACAGTCATGCAATATTGGTATTAATCAACATGGTAGAGGGAAGAGATGCTACTTTCAAGATAGCGAACATTTCGAGTAGGTACCATAACAATGTTGGCAAGGATGGTAGTTTCATTCGCCATGGTAGGGCACTAACGTCTGAATTCATTAATAGTTAAAGCACCTGATGAGTTTCCTTCAGCAGATATTTTTGATACACATTGAGGGTTATAGGTCCAGCTTGTTCCTGCAACCTCGACCTAAAAGTAAATAATAAGTATAGTTAAAATCGACCGATTCTTGTTCTACCAATATTAAACTTGGGCCTCTCACTTAAAGTTTTGCAAACAGCTCAAGCAATTTATAGTGTACCGAAGTTTGGCGTCATCAAAAATCTATTTTTAGAATTTCTCAATTTTGACCACATAATCTGAAAGAACGACATAAAATGCCTCTCAATCAGCCAAATCAGGTAGATATGTTTAAAATTGGGCAATATATGGCCAATGAATAACTTCAAGTTTGCCAATGGATCACCGTTATTTTGGCCTGGTTCATAAAGTTATGAACTGAGACCAAATTACAGAAATTTGATAAGGGAAGAGCCTATGCTTATGTGGTCATATCAATCCAATTTGAAATTCATTCAACTGATTTCGCATATTTAGAAATATTTCAAAATGCTCATTTGAGATATGTGGTTAAAATTGAAAAATTCCTAAAATAGATCTTTGTGACGTCATCACTTCGGTAGTCTATTGAAATGCCTTCACACTACATTTGCATCTGTTAATTTCATGCTTATACCAACGTCCGTTGTGCTTCGTCATAGCCAATCAAGTGCCTTATTAATTTTTGAATAATCAACCATTTATCAAGAACAGGAAATGACCATTGGACAACATATACAAGTATTCTGTTTGCCTTTAAGATACAAGTGTATTCCAGTAATGTATCCAAGATAATAAAGCTCAAATTCATTATCAGTAATGATTTTAATCAAATTCAATAATTGAAAAGGGAATAGAGCCTGCATTATTACTATCAAACAAACCCACTGACAGAATATTATGTTGGCGTCTGAGGGTTTCGACAGACCTCAGGAATGATATTTAAAATAGAAAAATGAGAAACTTGTTAATGTAAATGTATGGAGTCTGATGACAGCAACAATGGCCTTTCTGATAGCAAAATATCAACGCTGACAATCTCTTAATACTTCGAGTAATTATAAAAATTCTAATATACACTTTAACCAACTTGGAAGAAATAAAATTTCACATTTCGTCCAAAATTCCTTAAGAACATATTAACCAGCAGAGGGGTAGGATTTGGTGAAGCTTTTGCTAGCTTAACCAGCAAAAAAAGATAAAAATTTGGTGAAGCCTCGGCTAGCTTAACCAGCAAAAAAGATAAAAACCGCAACAAAATTGACTGATAGGTGTTAAAACACTTTCCTTGGCTTTAAATTGAGCAAGCTTCTCACGTTTAAAGTAAAAAATATTTTAACGAGCTAATTAGCCAGTTATCTGAAATCGAATCCTATACAGTAGCTAACAGCTTTGCCGGCCACAATTTCATGCACGATTACTTCTACTAAGGCGTGGCAGTAGGAAGTTGAATAGGTGAGGGGGGTCTACAAAAAGGCATTTGAAGTCATTGCGCCCTAAATGTCAGTTGCTAAAAGATAACTTAAAATTTAACTGTTGCGATCGGTTCGAAATTGAAAAAATCATACCTTTAAATCATTATCATGATAAATCTGCTGAATCCTGCCGATTTTCCCTAATGTCTGTTTAAAAAGAAAGCTTTTGTTTAGTTCTTTCAAACCCTGAAACGCATATCGTATACCAAGAAGAAAATACAGTATAGCATGTTCACATGAATTATATAGCATGTTTGGATGTCCTGTAAGAGTATCATGCGCTAGTGGTACTAGCTGAAAAAAGAAGCTTTGCCTTGGTTTGTTTTGGGGGCACTTTAAACGACCAGGCTACAGTGTGACATCCTAATAATAATAAACATATTTAAAGGAACGAAAACTAACGGACTACTCTCACTTAACTCAGGTAAGAAAGGCATTTACTCATATCGTGCACAAATGTACAAACGTAATCTGTGTGAAAAAGAGGCTTAAATCAGGGGCGTTGTGGCTCCTAGAAAATGGGCGAGAGAAAACAACCATATAGGGACCCAGAAAACTGAATTTAGCTATTGGTGCAAGCAGGGAAGATGGGTATAACAGCATAAGTAGTAAAGGCACAACAAAAGCACTTCTTGGAGAGTTCTTCGGTCAATTTTTGCTAAGCTGGAGATCTTTGAAAGGGCATTTCTATCATATGCAAATAGCTCTTCGATTTTTTTAAGCTTAGAGGCTAAAAACGCAGCTAGATCTTGCTACATCTCTTTGCTTTTTGGGGATCTTCTACAGAAGACACATTAAATATCACACTTAATGTTGCATGAAAAGTTGTGATTGTAAGCAGAGCATGACTGCAAACCGGGCTAAATTGAGCAGCTTTTAATGTTTGGAATAAAATTTTATGTGCATAAGCGGAGTGACTATAAGAGTTAGTCCTGGGCCAGTCCGCTTCTGCTTTTTATGCGCCTTTTCGTAGAGGCTCCCAAAAAAATATGCCCTCATCTGAAAACCATCGTATTAATAAGCCTCCAGATGCAAATTCGTAGATTCACGGTAATCTCTAAATCAAAGGGCCTGCCATCAGGTCGCCCAAGTCATCTTCTGTTTGACCCTCATTCCTTTTAAATTCCACGCACCCCATTCACGGGGCCCTTTTCCTTCAAGTTGAACGCCAAGTCTCCAGTTCATAACTATGAGATTCTGGAGATTCTTTCACCAAAGAATTTATTCCCTTAAAAAATTTTCCTGGGTTTTACCAAAGTCATTTGAAAGGGGCCAACCGGAAAATCTCCCGGTGTCCCGCCTAGCCACCTGGATAAACTACCAGGTCTAAATAATTTCCAAAAACCCTTGATATTCTAGTAATGACATTCAACTTCGATTTTTTTAATTAAATTCTGAAGTAAGAAAAAGAAATGCAACGTACAGGGATCATTGCTTCAGTCCATTCCCCGTGTCCTCTTTGAAGAACTTTAACACGCTCAATATCACTGGATATTTGCACAAGGTCCCCCACTTGAAGAACAGATGTTTCAGAAGCAGCTGGACCCGATTCTGGTTCTAGTTGTGTGGGCGAGTTTGAGTTGTATGTATTTGCCATAGCGGTGGAAGTCCTGCTGTCACTTCCAAATGAAACATTATGAATACCCTCTACCTCCGCGTCTATTTCATGCAGGGTTAATACAGCAGGGTTGAATGTCCATCTAGCGATAAATAGGTGAAACTGTTGTTAATATTGAGATGAATAAGGAGGTTTAATAGCGTAAGATGCAATCAAAAAATTAACCAGAAATAAAGGGTATAAAAGTCCTGACTGTCTAAAAATTTTTTCAAACTCCGTTCAATGTGAAGAAGAATTCATTCTTTAACGATACGTATTTTATCTACAATGCCTGCCAAAAATACTTGGAACACCCAGCGATTTACGCTGCATTTGATATCTTTTATTCCTTTCATGAAAAAAATTGCTACTTCCGCCCCCTTCCCCCTCAAACAATGTTGATGATTTAGAGAAATATCATAAAAGAAGTGCAAAAGAAAGTGCTTCCTAAAATCCTAGCCCGTTTGATAGTAAACCAACATTGTTCTGTAGGGGAGATTGATGTCAATGTTCCAAGACTTTTGGCAGGCATTGTAGAGACATTGAAACATGGAATGGCTGGTAGTAAAATAGGCTTGAATTACGTTTGGTTAGCTATGTATTGATGTGTCCTCTGTAACCATGTTAAACACAGTATATAACTATACAGTATAAAGACAGCTCGGATGGCTGAAAACCAAGACAGGTCTTCAAACTTTCTGCCTATGAATATGTGGAACAAGTCTATGACTGTTTTGGCAATTACCTTTCAGAATTCAGTAGTTACATATTGTATATTGCAGAACTTTAACACCATCACATTTCCAATGGGCAGTTTTTCAAAAAGCTTAGATTACACAATTATGATTCCTCGTGTGCATAAAACCTTTTTTAGTTCAGGCAAGCAAGTTTAAATGTATGAATCGACAAGCAAGTTTTAAATTTCCCCTTAGCTGTTTGGTTAATGTCTTTCTTTTGATACCAATAGCTGTTACAATTCTTATTACTCAGGTATCGCTTTCATAATAACCACCCACACTATATTAAACCATTTGGCGAATATCAACTATTTGTTTTGACTTCTGTCACCATTCCTTGTTTGCTCCGAAGATTTCAGATTAATATACACTGTTAATATATCACTTTATTCACAACCGATATTTCAGATTAATACACACTATTATCACTTTATTCACAACTGATTTAGCTAATTCAAAGACGCTTTCTTTTGACTAAGTGGACCATTTAAGTCAGTTGCCCTATAAAAGTTATAACAGCATCACTGAAGGCAAAACATATATAAACAAATGCCATTCAAATAAATACTACATGTACAAAAGATTGTTCTGTCCATTACATAATACCATTGCTTGTTTTAATTACTTTTACTTTAATTGTATTTTGCAACTCTAAAGGACTTTTTAGCAAAAACGTAAAGATATGAAGTAAGCCTGTTTCCGCCAGGAACTCTAAAGGAATTTTGCAACTCTAAAAGAATTTTGCAACCCTAAAAGAATTTTTAGCAAAAACGTAAAGATATGAAGTAAACCTGTTTCCACCAGGATAAACCACAATTACGTCATCATCTTCATCAAAGCCAACAATAGTTCCAGGACCACACAAGGCCTAAAGACAAGACCAGGATTACATACGATTTAAACGTCAAAGCAATTACTTAGACGTCTAAAGATTCTAATTTACAAAAAGTCTAATTAACAAATGTGTTCTAAACTGCAGGGTAAATCTTGGCCTGACATTCCAATCATGTAACTTGACCCTGATATATAATTTTCTGAAAAAGAGAAAATCTTTTCTAGGGGTATTATTTTCGTCCCATACCCTGCAAGCTTATAAAATGCTGGATAATTACAGAGAAGTGCGAATTCCAATCTACTTTGGGCAAAATGGCACACAGGCTGATAACAGTAAAAAACTTCCATATTCAGATACCTTTCTCCGCTCAATCCTGTCATTTAATAGGATAATTCAAATAGAATATGAAAAACTGCCCAACAAAACTGGATTCCAACAAGCCAAAAAAATGAAAATGCAAATAACAAAATGAAAATTAATATGCAATACAAGACGGTGAAAAGCGAAATCTTGCTTGTCAGAAATCCTGCGTAAACCCACAGCCACCCCCTCCGCCTCCTCAGGCTTTATTGAGAAATGACTTGTATTTTCATGGGAATAGCTATGCCATTGCTATAGATGTAAGTCAGATAAGCACGTACCTCGTACATTCCGTAGGTCCATCCCCCGTGTCCTTGCTGCAAAGACTGAACCACTTCTAAATCAAGATCGATTTTGACACGATCGCCTATGGACCACCTTGTGTTCCGTGTGGCTGACTCGTTCGATGTTATACCAAGCGCCGGTAAATGGTCACGATAAAAAGAATTCCCCTTTGCCTCACTGACAGCTTTGACATCAACCTGCAAAGGAGTTGTTAAGCTACGTATTTACCAAACCGATATGATGAAGACGATACAGCATACTAAAACTGCTACACACGATGGTGTACACAGGGTTAGACAGAGAGAGTAACGTACACAGTTAACTCTATGGTTACAGTTACTTCAAATTTAGACCCAAAAATTAAACTATTCAACGGAACCCTGTTTACAGTCACACTTAAAATTCTTAGACCAGGCATTCGAGCACTTTATGGCAGACTGGTAAACAGTACTGTTTGTTCCTCTAATACGAAAATATATTATGTATGTTTTTCTAATCGAGAGGAGAGTGAGCTGTAACCAACCGTTGATAGAGTTGTCATATTGAATCTTATTGAGAAATATCAGAAAAACAAATACGACATTGGTTGGCAATGCAATCCAAAGAGGGCCTTACTGGCTTTGGTTTTGAATTTTAAATTAATCTTTTCGATGGCACTGCTGAAAAATGTCAAAACAACACAATGCAAAAGAAGCTGAAAACAATTTTCTCGAAACCATAGCGACCAAAAACTTCCAAAAAGACCAAAAAGTCTACTTTATTTGACAATATCTAACTCAGAAAAAGTCTTGTATCTTACGATAGAAATCTTTTTTGAAAAAGTTATCTTTAAAATTCTTCTTTCAAATTTTAAATTTTTCATTCAAGTAGATAGATCTATTATTATTTAGAATAACATATGCATTATTTAGAATATATACTTTATCACTTACCATTCCTTCGAACCCAACCCTATAAAGGTTCTTTGTCCCACTATCCCACATGACGTAAGCGGCGCTCCTTGGACTAGTGCCACTCCAGTCTTGAATTTCAGTGATCTTCCCGCGACGTCCAGGGTCACCTAAAAAATATCCGCTCACGTTTGAATACAAAAATCTAGAAAAAATTTCAACACACTGATTTCATACAAACTATGTGTGTTGAAATTTGTGTGTTGAAACTGTGTATACTTAGTTTCAAGGGTCAGATCTATTTTTCGATGAGGCATTTCTAGTTGAGTTGTTTACTTTCCGTTATGTTGTTTACTTTTCAAATCTTATTCTACAAATATGCATCCACTTCCTTTCCGTGCAAGGTATCAATTTGTCACGTAAAAACTTGGCTTTATGGGGTTGTGAAGACCTTTCCTACAGTTTGAGCTATTTTTTATGCATAAAATTTCAGGAAGAATCATTAAGGATGAAGAAGTATCATGTTCCTCACATTAAAATCCCATGCAGTTAGAAACAAAGGAAATTTGATGATTAATTAATATCATCAACACAACACCAATCAGAAATATACTCAGAGACGTCGGAATCAAAGGGGCACCAGTAGTAAGTTCCCCTTCAACGTTTTGGAAAAATGCCCGTGTCTATGAAGTAACCTCTCTGAAATAGTGCGACCCCTTTTGTGATTGGTGCCCACTTTTACATGTGTTCCCCAAACTTTGAAACATTTGTGCCGTCCCTGATTTTACTTGATACTTCAAATAACATGATGGAAATGAAAATGATTAACAAATTTTTCCAAAAGCAATAGTATTACCATCTTGACACTCCCATTGCCAATCAACTCCTCGCACCACACGCGCTCCAGGAAATAGCCCTCGTGCAGATATCTTCTTGCTTTTCCTCCTTGTCTCCGTTAATATTCTAGCAAATCAAACACAAAGAAAATTTCCTACGTAAATAATGTCTTACGATTTAAATACCACATCAATAAAATCTTGTTTTGGATTAGATAGAACCTATTTTTGAAATATCATAATAGAGATAGTGCAGTGCAAGTCTACAATTTTAACTTCCAAAGGTGTGAACTGGTGTGCCTTTAAGTGGGCTGATGTGACACAAAATTCACGTAACTCCGGCAAAAAAAATTTAGAAACGCTTTAATTTTGAGATGGAATTTTCAGCCTTGACTTCACTGCAACAAAAATGGGGAAGTAACAAGGACCTATGCACAGAATATCATTGTTTTGCACAGTTGCTGGCTGAAATTAGAACTGACCTGGGCCTAATTTCCCAATGGTTGTTTCTAAATGACTTTCTAATTCCAAGAAATGGATTTGAAATCTTCAATATCATTCTGTCTTGGCAATTTTATATTTGCTTGAAAGGACCATTTACTGAAAGCAATGAACAGTGTTTGTGCTAATGTACTCAGCAATTAGAGGAGTAATCAAATATTTAAAAAAAAGTCCCAAAAAATATAGGTTGGACCCTAGATTCAATTTTTTATATTCAACAAATGCACAGTTTATTGGTTTACTGAAAATATCTAGCTTCATGCTTAATGAGACGATAAACAAATCAAAGCAAATCAAATGAAATAAAAAATCAGATATAATTAGACTAGATTTTAATGCTTTATACCATGAGTGGCAAAACAAAGAGTCTGTTCATTCTAAATGCTTATATGTAAAAAGCATCTAGCATTTAATATAAAAAACATAGCTGCATTCACTTAAGGGCTTCATAGATACAGAAATTTGAATTCTATTGATTGAGAAACAATGCAAATGTTTCACCCATTCTTATGCCATTTCTTTCTGATTCCCAAATGAGTTAACCCTAAGCAACAACAACAAATGGATGCTAATAAATATTGCAATGCGATTATATTATGCAAAAATATTGCAAAGAGGACCTCACAAAAAGGCAATTACTAAGAGTGTGCATTGTTTTGGATACAGTGCCTTAGCTAAGCAGACAGACACAAGAGATTAAATAAGCAATTTGTCACTTAATATACTACTTTTGCTAAAAATTACTTTAACAAAGTAGATCCTATGTACAGACATTAGGTAAGGAGTTTGGGGGATAATGTGAGGTTTGAAAACTTGTGTGCCTAGTGATAGTGGCATTGATAAAAAGAAATAATCACAACATGGTTGCTCCAGATTGGTTGTAAAGCCTTTAGGAGTTAACGATTGAAGATTGAAGATTGAAGATGGCATTCACACTGATGACACTCTTTATGCTGGAGCAAAATATTTTATTTTCAATTTTTGTGCTTTCAAATCACCATTTTTTGTTGTTGAATAATTCTCAATTTTTTCATTGGTTTTAGCCTTCTGTTTATTGCTGTTATCTACTTTGCATATATTCTTGGTATAAAGACCACTGTGTGTTTGCACATGTGACAGAAACTACTGAGCTTGTTGAGTAGTGGGGCAAGCAGAGTGGGAAATTTATATTTCTTGAACCAAATAATCTGTTTGGTAGAAGTCAGTAATCTCAGTCATTTCCAGTTGTGGGGACAGCTGCACCCCCTCAAAATCTCCATATTTTCTGTCACTGGCTCAAACTATATTAAGGTGCAATTTATCTTTAAAATCTCCATATGGAAGCTTGTTACAAGCAATCCTGATTGCAAAATTGTATTTACCTTATTCTTCCTGGCATTGGGATCCTAAAGAATTTGTGTCTGAGATGATGTTTATCCCCATGGTAACAGTTTGAACATAGGTGATAGCTGACACACTCGGAACATTCCCAACGAGTCCCAAAAATTGGCTGCACTCTGCAACCTTCACACATTGTACCTTCATGCTTAATCCCTGTCATGAAAAATGGAAATATTCAAACAGTTTAAGAAGGTTCAGAGTTCATTAGACAGTGCTTTCGGTTTTTAAAGAAACCAGTTTCTTAAACTCCAATTATCTTGAGAATTCAAAGACAAAAGCAATTTTACTTTGTTAAAATGCAAGAATGATAGATGTTGCAAAATTTAACAGAGCAATGCTGCTCACATTTTTATGCACTGGAATGGCTTTTTACCAAGAAGTTTTTAGAGCAGCTCTGCAAGTTTTAGCTTAAATTGATCAGCATGCTTTCTTATTTTAAAGTCTTCATGAGGTTTTCAGCTTATTTCTCCTACTAGCTGGTATGCTAAATGTTCTTATTTCAGCCAAATTTTCAATCATGATTAAAGTTTGGTCAATTTATCCAGACAACACACAATGCAACACTAATTGGAGTATCATCATAAACAATCACAGAAACAGCTTTGTGCAAAGCTGCTAAACCGTTTCACCAAAATTTCTGCGGATGCGAAATGCTGGGAGATCTCACATAAAAAAATAACGTTATCTCCAAGTTCTTTGGGATTTGCTACATGCATAAACAGCACCAATATATGCAAATAAATAAAAAGCTATGTTGCTGAAAAATGCAAAATAGACAACTGGATGCCAAATAATTTTTCAAAAGAAAGACTCCATCGGTAGATTGATCACCCATCGGGTGAAAATATAACACCACTTCGTGCATTGTTTAATACGACAAATATCCATCATAAACATATCGTATATGTACATGTTGTTTGCTATCTTGAAAGGCGTACGAAAAAGTAAATTCACCTGCTGGCCCGCTGTCTAATATTCTTAGATCTTGAGCACCATTGCACCGATAATTTGCCGCCGTTCCATTATCCCAAACCACGACAACTTCTTCAGAACTTTCAAAGTTTCTTACAGTGCCTAGGTGGCCATCGCCGCCATCTTGTTTGCCCCACTTCCAATCTGGGCCACGGACAACTCTGGCCCCGACAAATGGCTGGAGATGTTGGTCACCTAGGCTCATATCATAAAGCCGATCATTTGACAATCAAGTCTCTGAAAAAGTCTATGGCAAATAAAAAAAATTTCTGGTACAGTTTATCTTCTGTGTTGACGCTGCTTCAATGCTGGTAGATGTCCTCCGCAACAGCAAATAGCATCTCTCGCTTCGCAGTGATATCTCTATGGTTTAGCGAAGAAGTGAAGTTGCAGCCTATTTATTCAAGTCAAATACTTACGAGGACTTACAATTTTTGAAATATTGATACATTTATGACTTGATCAGTTTACCATTGTTGTGCTCCTTTTGTTCACCCTAAAGAAACAAATAATATGATCTGAGTTTCTATGTGTAAAATTCCTGTACGAAGAAATCCACGAGATAATAAACAGCAAATAAAATCTGTTCTAAAAATCTAGCTCATATATTCATTTTCTGCTTTTTATTTTAAATATTTTTTCATATTTTCATACGATCCAAGCAGGGGTTTGTTTTGTTAAGGTAATCCTTTTTAAGCCGAAAGTTAAGGTGGTAGCGAGCTATTTGTAGGCGGCTATGGCCGCCAGTTGCAATGGTGGGGACGTTACTACGGGCAAAAGTAGCAACTCAAGACGGTCTAAACCTAGTAAGAGAATAACAGCAGCACGGTTTTTCTTGAAAAATATATCCTTAGATGGCAAATCTAAGTTCAGGATTCCTACAGGATCGGATAAAGGGGCCGATTATGACCGCAATGTTGCTTTGTCTAGGCCCTGGCGAACTATGCACCAAGACTCTTTTGATGAGGAGCAGGACAAAGTGCTAATATCAGCTTTACCAACGTCAAATAAAGGGCACTTGCATCATAGTACATCAGTAGCATCTACAAATATATTCAAAGAGAATACATCGTTGCCTTCCGGATCAGAACCCTGTAACATTGTGAAAAGTAAATCGTTTACCAGCGACACCACCTCGGTAACGTCGAAAGACAAGCAACAGATTTTAATCTCAAGGCAGAGCTCTAGTATACGTGTGGTCGATACAAACCATTTTCTTACTAAAATTGTTCGACATATGGGAGATAAAAGGTAGTTTTGCTGTGTAATTGTTTCCTCTGTTGTTTGTAAGTAAAAGTGCAGGTCGTATGTTGCAAGTAAAAGTGCAGGTATGCTATGATCAGCACACACCTGTCTTGTAAAAACGGAAGTAGAGGAGCAGGGTTCTTGAAATTACCTGCTTTGCGTCCTTGAGCAAGATCAGAAAAATTAGAGATCTAGTAAAAAGAGAGGGTGTGTGTATTTCAGACCTAAGTATTTAAACATATTCATGCAGCATCTTATGCAATCCGGAGCTAGACTGGAACATTGCTGCGTGCCGGCAATATATTGCCTGCCCACATGTATGTGCACTTTTAAAAATCGGCCATACAAAATCTCTAGAAAATAACAATGAACATAATTAACTCTAAAAATAACTAACAGTGTATGATTTCAGGCACGCAATCTCAAATTTTCAAGGTAAACTTGTCTTTGCAAAAGACAACGTTTCAAGTCTGGATCAAGGATGGAATCCATGTAAATTGCACACAGGATGTATGCCAAAAAACAAAAGAAATAAGGGAAATTGTTATTCCATGCTGGAATAAGGAAAATCATTAGTCGCTGACATAGGCTACATGGATTCCACTATGACCTTTTAAAAATAATTTTCAAGAGAGGGTGGATTCGAACGTTGTTATGATTTCCATCTCCCTTCTAAAACAAATAGTACATGTACTTCTATTTGTAAATATTATCATTTATCTCCAAATGTGTATTGTAGTTAAAAGGTGTTAGAAGGGCATTACAACTACCTCATGCTCAATTTTCCTGCACTTTGTATGCACTCTGGTTATCTGGCTAGTAAAATTTCTGGCAGTAGGTAAAATATAGGCAAAGTTCTCTTCATAAAAATGTCTTTGTTAGTAAATACCTCTTTACATGACCCTGACCTAGTATTGATAAGATCTAGTATTTTTAAGCTACATCAGCTTTATTTCAGGTAGTTAATTTTAAGTTGCAACTATTTATCTGAATCATTTTTTTCAGAGCAGTACTTGTGAGTCAAAATGGGTTGCCTTTTGGATCAATATCATTAGTTCCATACAAAAGACAAGATAAGAATAGTCAGATGTGAGTTTATTTTTATACTTATGTCAGCAAATGTACATATTACTATTTAATGTTACTATTCATCTTCTCATATTGATCACATCGGAAAGCTGATTTCTTGATATCTTGGAAACTTCTTTCAAATTTAACTTTGAAACAGAACCAAATGTCATTGTTAGCTTATCAACAAAAATATGAACAACAAATGATACTTTCAAAACAAATTAACAGGATCAATGTTAGCATAAGCTAATATTGTTTTCATTGTCAAATTCAATTGCAAAATTAGTGCTAAAGTTATAATGCAGATTCTATGGAATGCTAATTTATTTAAGCAAAATTTCTTTTGATAATTGACATACGTACATTTAATAGTTTACACATGCTACACATGCTCTCAAGTGCCATGCTTAAGATAATTTATGTACTTTTCGCCAATGAAATACCTAGTGTTGAGGCATTTCTTTGTTAAGTATATAAATATATCTTATATAAAATCTATTTTATGTTCATCCACTATGTTTCTTAGTGCAAAGGAAAACAGAATCTCTGGAACTGCAAATCATGGAATGGCAAGCTCAGTTGCAATTGAGGGTGTAGAAGTCGGAGGTGCAAAAAAAGTAATTTGTCCAAAGTTTATCATATATGCCTGCGCTGTACTGAAACATTAATTTTTGTTTCATTGTCATTACAAACACTCAAAATTGTTAGAATTTTACCAGTGATGGTCGATAGCAAGGACCAGAAAACTGCTCCATAAAGCATAGCTTTTTAGTGTCCTGAAAGCTACCATTGGATGCTAGGTGGAAGTAATTACAAATCAATTTGTTAAATCCAAAATCACTCTTTTTTATGCTTATTGTAAAAGGTTTAAATGATATAATTGCTCACACTTTTGTCAGTGACTTGATGTACAGTTAAATCCCATTTATATTTTTCTTGGTTAATTCAAATTTTAGTCAGTATCATACAACAACTTGCTGGTTCCAGTTTTATTTCAAAAGAAAAGATACACAGAACATTTAGATGGAACAGATGATGCAACCTTGCACCAAAGTAGAGGTTTATGAACTTCACTAAATTTTGTTTTTCCTTTCTATATATTTGCAATTGTAGAGCACCATTGTTAATGATTAGAATTTCAAGATCTTACTGACATCCATTTTAAAAGGAACTTAGAATGAAATCAGAGCTTAAAGTTTTTATTTAATTCCTTCAAAAGTTCTTATTATTTTTAGAACTAAGTCTCTGTCTCAGGAAAAAGATTTTGGGCTTTAGTTGCATCAGCCCTGGTATTGCCTGAGCAATAACACAATTTATGGTCATGTTTGATTTAGGATAAAAACTCATTTTTTACCCTGCCACGAAACTTGACAAAAACTTTTAGCATGAAATCTCTTACTTGATTTTAATATGAACATTAAATTCTTGTTACACTCTTTTTACAGAACACTGTTTTCTTGAGATATACACACATATGTATAATTTTTGTTCTGCATTACTAACACACAATACATTATCAGCATTTGTTATACCAAATTACCGGGCAAAATTTTCAACTACTAATTTAATTCAAGCAAAGTAAAAACAAAGTTTATTTCTTTTTAACATTAGCCATTCCATATATGTAAAACACTTAAAGACAGCCAATCTTGTTACGTCATTTGAAGGTGAACATGCCTCAAACCCTGTGTGGATGTGTCCATTAGTATTCGTAATTTTCTTCTGGCATTGGCGTACATTTCTCATTGCTTGCTTTATAGAATGTAAGCGTTTTGGTCTTACATCTTTGCCTCAAGCACCAACCCTGATTTAAAACAGTAATTTTAACCATTAAAAAAATGATATATTTACATGCTGTAAGAACCACTAGCTTTGATGATAAAAAAGAGCAGCAAACAGAAACCCAGAGCAAGATGTAGTTTGCTAGTGCTGATATGAAATTTAATCAAAGTTAATATAAATTTTAAGATCTACTAACCTTAACCTTGAAAACAAACTATGAATATTGTGCTTGGTCATATTCTTCTTGATCATCTAATGTAGTATAAAGAAAATTATTGCTGTTCGAATAGCTATTATCAAAAATTGAGGACCAGGGATGAGTTCTTTTTTAGTATGGCAGTTTATTTTAAGGACAAAAGTTTAAACAAATCAAACAACTTAAAATATAACATTCAGTGGCTTGAAACTTTGTCAACGCTTTGCAGGAAATCTTGAATTGTTTATTTTGCTGCAAGGAAGATATTTTGCTGCCAGAAAATATTTTTTGAAGACCTAAGCTGCACATTAATCCTCTGTTAAAAGCAAAGAAGAAAATATAGCTAGCCATTTGCTTCTTATAAGTAACATTCACACAAATACAATGTATTTATTGCTCTTAAGTTCTTGCAAACATTGCATTTGTCTTTCTTAAAATAGCCAAATCATGGACGCTAAAACTTTTTTGAAAAACGTTGATTTACAGCAAAATGAATCAGTAGCAAATATCAAAAATTGTAACTGATGTAAACTATATCTTTAATATTCAAATGTTGTCATCGGGTAGCACACTGTTGATGGGTTAAAAGTCTCTTCGGTTGAATATCAAATTTTAACACAGGTATATTTTAAGAGTTTGGATATAGGATATTTTGTAGAACAAATTCAGTAGCTTGTATAATTGTAATTCTAAATGACAAGAACGAAATCATAATTTCTTGAAAAAATGAAACCTTCTAATTTATTTTATCATATCTCGCGGCGAGCTTGGAGCCAACAATACTGGACGAACAATCCTTAAATGCTTCACCCTTTTCGTCTTCCCCATTCTCCTCTTCCCCCGGTAAAATGTGAAAATCTCTGCTATTTACGATAACGTAAGCTTGCACTGTAGATGATGGAAGGGGGGTTAATGTTTGTCAGAGCAAAACTCGTGGATCCAGAGTAAGAAATTTTCACTACATGATATTAATTACTTACTTTTTTGATGATATCCGTTTAGTTGATTGTTGCAACGGATTAAAGCTGAGCCTAACCCTAGTCATGACACGAACCCTATTCAGCCCTCATCTTCACTTTCCAATGCTCATGATTGAAAAAGCGGGATTTTCTGTTAATGTATACTATCAAGTCAAATTTCATACCCCATATCTTCTAGGTCTGCCGTTGAACTATCCATGCCTGTTACCCCAACATGGGTTGGAATATTTTGCCTCTACAAATTTTTCCAGAATTGTGGCGTTGGACAGAAATGAAGTAATAAGGACCAGAGTAGGTGATGCTTGGCAGTCTCATTGCAATGTGAGATCTAGAATACCAGATTTAGAAACACAACTTACTCAACACGTATGTAAAACAGAAACGTTAAAAACTTGTTTATAGATTGAATAACTTGACAGATAGCGAATAGTAATAGCCTGGAAACCACTTCAGACTCAAGACTCATTAACCGGCCCATTATCGTGTCGTAAAAAATAATGGCATTGATAAAGTTGCTATCACATCTTACAGTATAGGGAAGGTCTTGCTATCAAATCTCTACCAGACTAGGAAAGGTCAGGTCAAAAGTTAAAGAAATGAGGTAAAGCACAGGTAAAGAAGATACTACATTCTACTCGATGAGTTAACATACTAAGTTCCTTTTTTTAATTTTTTTTTTCATTTGTTTTGGCGGTTTTCTGCTTAATGTCAATGTGAGTGAAAACCGATAAGTATTTCTATTTCAATGTAAACTCCTCATTGCGACGGTTCCCTGTTGTTGTATTATGAGGTGACAGGCAATTCTCTAGTCGTCGATCCCTGGCTGCCTCTCGTTGTTGCTAATCTGCTGATGCTCCAGTTATGTGTACCATTAATTGGACCTCCTTGGCGAGATCCAAGGTTAACATTCAATGATCCATGCTCTCTAAGCGTAGACATAGCGTCTCGTATTGTTCTTCCAAATGAAAAATGACCTCTTCTACTTCCATGCCTCGTAGCCACGTCACTATCTCGATCTCGACGATAAACAATCAGTATGCAATTGTCAGACAATTTATATACGGCATAGAACCCCAATGCGAGGCAGCCTACCGCCACAGTGAGTTCTACAAACATATCTTCATTGCAGGTATCTGTTGACACAACTCCGTTTCTATTGCATATCTAGTGAGCCACTGACTTACGTTGCACAGATAAGTGAACGATATATGCAGGCCGTGTCAATGAAAGAATGAAGTTTTATCACGTAAACGACAACCAATGATGATTCATTTGCTTCAATGCATTCTTACTATTACTGATTCTAGCCCCTTCTTAGAATATTGTGGCCAGCTTTCACATACTTTCGAAGTAGCTCCGTAGTTCCTTTCTACAACGTTCTCTTAACAGTAAGATTGAGTATTATCTCGCTACCGGCAGCTTTGCTATTATTCCATTGATGGTGGCTGCATACATTCTAATTACCAGCTCTGTTACGAGCGCCTTGTCTAGAATTGTCAATTGCATTTTGTGAAAGAGAGGCTAAACTGATGAATAAATTATGCTTCTTTCATTAACACAATACTTTAGACCTCATTGTAGACATTCTTGCTGTCCATGTTTATAAAGGAGAGTTGGCAAAAAACCTCACCTCCTAGTTTCTGAAATGCCAAGGTCAAGCAAATCATAGCAGTGACAATGGTTCGCAGTGACGTCACGGAGACAAGCGGACACCAGAGAGCCGGTACAAGTGGCAGGAAGGCCTGAAGCCTCCCTATCGTCAGCACTTCATAGAACTTTAATCAACTTTTTGCCCTTCGATTTGATGAATTGAAAGCTAAAAGCTATCAGGTTTTATTTTGCTCTACAAACTACTGATAAAGCAGCAAAAATACTTTCAAACCAATGATTAAAGGATACAGTCAAAAGGCTGGCAATTAGATCATTTAATGATTCAGATTTTCTTGATTTCTTTCTCTTAATTATTCCCGTATAAGCAAAAATCTGATTAAGCAAACTTTGAAAATTTGAACTTATGTTCCATATGGTCAGCCTCGTCGAAGGCTTGAATTTTCGACCTTTGCATATACCAAGCATGTATCTCTGCCCTTAACATTATGCTTATATTGACGAAAAACGCAAGATACATGCAGCGATTACGATTTCTGCGGGTTCCACGCAGAAAGTATGAAAGCAGGAAATGAATTAAATGATATAGCCGAATAATCGATAAAGGCAGGTTATACTGGTTCATCCAGATGTAGTTTGTGCTATAAATTTATTGCAGGTAAATGCGGATGATCAATGGAAGCAAGTCAACATTTCTGCGTCTATTATTTAAGTGGCATTTGCTCAGTGTTGCTCTCTATAATAAGGGCGCCATTATCAAAATGGGCTTCAGTTTTAAGCACATAGAAGACGTATCAACTTGTGTTCTTTCACGAGAGTTTCAAAGAGTTTCGACGAATCCTTTAACATGACTAACAAAAAAGAACTGGAAGAGGCTGGGATTCAAATTATCACAGGATCTAGGATCAGAAGTGACAGCAATGGCCAATCTGGCGATTTGAGCTCACCAAGGTCAAGCAAGAATAAGAGCATGATTAGAAAAATCAGCAATCTTGGTGCTTGGCGTTATGGTAAATATGTCTCGAGGATGAGCCAAAAGCAGTCTTTCATTTAACATCAATTTGCATGTTCCTACATCCTATATCCAAAGTTATATCCACAGAGTGTAAAGATAGACTTGATATAGTTTACATTGTCTCAGGGTCTTGAGATGACATTAAAGTTGAATTGGTAGACGCTGATGACCTTTGTCGATTCCAGGTGTAGCCGAATGTGGTGGACCATGCACGTCATTCTTGTGGGGAATACCGTTTGATGGTTAATACTGCTCCGTTTTATCTATTGATTACTTCACTTCTTTGTACTTTTGGTCTTTAAGACAACTTATTCGTCCTGTCAGCGTTCTGTGTCATTAGTTAACTATTCATTTTCATTATCGTTTGTCATTTTGATACCATCTATAGGAACATTTGGCATTTTCCTTTTCTGTCACTCCATTTTAACCAAGCCGTATTATAGTTGTATCCCTTCACCTTCCCCTTGCCCCCTAGCCCCCTCGCCCCCATTGTTCAATCTTATGGAAGCATGTCAGGCCTTTGTATAGATCAACAAGCTTTTACCATTACAATAAGCAGGACCTACTTCAGCAGGTTCTAAAAAAATCTTCATAAAGTAACGTTCTTTGCCGTTGTACCGAGTCTACTTATTATCGTCAACAACTATCTGCATTATTTTGAAAAATATGGTATTGAGTGCACTGACTCCATTACCAAAACTCTAAAGTATGCTTTTTTGTAGAATAAGCGACTGAATAACTCCTTTTCATCCTCTTTGACTATTTGGTTATTTCAAATATCTATAGCGCTACTATTTATATTTTTTTCTTCAATCTTTGCCTAAGTGCCAATATCCTTCCTCAATTAAATATTTCTGAGAAAGAGATGAACCTGAACCATTTTGTTGGTTTTTACCGAGTTCGAAGCAAAGTTTACCGGTTCGAAGCAAAAATCTTCTGATCAGAGTTTACCCTCTTAATTCTTGTTAACTTTAAATCGAAACTTCTTGCTTTTATCAAGCCTTAAAAACTGTTATGTAAAATAGCAGATCTTAATTGTTTAAGCCTAGTGCTTATTTCTAGAACAAAAGAGAAATTTTCGACAGTTGGGAGTGATAAATCTAGAAATGTCTCTTAAAAGAGACATTTGCTTCGCAGATAAGCAAATTAATTACTTTCCAAGCAGAAAGACAAGGAAGCAGTAATTTCCACCAATTTCAGAGCTAATAATTCAGCTGATCTAAACTAAATAGCATACAATTTTCTTATAAATTTTGCAACACCTGAGGAAGATTACTTAATTTGTCAATAAGATCAATAAAGCAGTCGTTCTTATCAAATATTTGCATTAGAATTAGATTAGAGTTTTTCAATGAATCATGTAAAATGTGAAAATAACTAGAAGTTATAAAATTTGTGATTATCCCCGATACTACGTCTTTATATAAATGTAGAAGTAAATGGACTTTCATTAGAGTTCGCTGAGGTAAGAATTTTCGTATTATGTTTAAAATAGAAGATAATTTACTAATAAACATTGTTTAACTTACAGAACGATGAATTTTTGCTTTAAAATTTTAGGTTGGTAAAACGCTTTTGCGTATTTAATTTTATATTTATCATTAAGTTCAATTGGCCTTGTGTATTCTCGACTAAGTGCGATCCTGTGCTTGTGCCTTTGATCAAATTCAAGGTGCCGGATCAAAATCATGTTACAGCTGCCTAGACATTTCAAGCTCTGTTTTCAACAGCATCTTCTGGAACAGTCCCTGTTTTCCACGATCCAACGCCAGATTTGCCTATCTTTTCAAAACTACGCTCCAATGCACCGCTTGCAAAACTGCACATACCACAACAGTTGCAAGATGAGCCTGGTTCTTGTTCCAAACTTTGCTGGCCATTATATTCACCTTTAATTAAAGGCAAATCAACTGACGTCTCACTGTCAACCATCTTTGGAACTGATTTCGTTTTCATTCCAAGCTTGCAAATGCTCGGGCTGAGGGTTACTGCTGGATCGGTGTCCATTTTGTCAATGCACAGTCGATCCGATCTTTCTTGACACGATTTCACCAAATTTATAGCTAAATCTAATGCATTAAACTATCCCACACGAGTATATCTTTCTAGAAAAAGTTGATTCCACGAGAAAGTTTCAAAACAAACCCACGTGGTGCGATGTTCTTGTATGCTACTGGCTGGTGACAAACGAGAACCTGCTATCATTTAAATACTCCATTGACAACATCCATATTGAAAAGTAAATAACCTATTCAGTATAGCTTTGTAGCTTTGCAAGGTTTTACTTTAGTTAGCAGCCTGATTTACTGTTTAAGAAGACCTGGAAAGCAGTGGCGGTTATTCGGGGGCGAGGGGGGCAGTTGCCCCCATGGAGTCCAAAAGTCAGCAAAATTACCATTCGGCAATGTCTGGTATTTGCTATTTTGTCATTTTCAAAAAATTCTAACTTGAATATTTCAATCATTTGGAGCCTCGTTTACAACAGCACTCCTTTCCACAAAAAGTAATACAGGCTCGATTTCGAGTATAGGTCAAATATATTGTCAAGTTGAGAAACTAGATTTAGACGCAAAATGCCTTCTCTGTGTCTGTCTAATATTTAGACATAATTTTGTGGAAAAGCTTCCAAAAACAACGAGAAAGCGGGAAAAGGGAGAGTTAGTTGTGAAGCAATCTTTAACTGCAACGATGAAGCTGCAGTATATGCATGAAGCCGGACTTTACAATGGGTGTAACACCCCCAATACTTCATGAATTCGTCGGTAAATCTTCAGTTTGTCCACAGAAACTCTTTTGCAAACATGTCAGAAAAGAGGCTGGAGTTGAAATAATTCAGATAAAGACTGATGTAAGAGATATCTCATCATGAATTTGTCTAAGTATTTGTAAAATTGCTCCTTACTGTCAAGAGGCTCATACTGATTCCTTTTAATCCTTATTCTGCTAGTAATTTTGTACGATAACTCACTTGATGCTTTTGAAAATAAGGATATTCTCAAAAAATTGCTTTGAAACAGACTGCAAACAAGTTTAGAAAATTTGAAATTTAATATCATGTATTAAAAGGATTCGAAAAAGAAAACTTATTTTGAGTTAACTAATTGTTTTAAGTTTATATCAAATTCGAGGAAGTAATAACCGAGGAGAAGGGCGGTAAGAGGAATGTTTAGCTTTTGCTGTGCTATGAAAGTCATCACATCAAATTTTGTAAATTGTTCAAAACTAATTGAAACTAACATATAATCATAACTAATATAGCAACACCAATGGCCATGTAAAAGTCGGCAAATTTCACACTAATGCCCCCCCTCCCCTCCTGAAACTTTGCGGATAACCGCCACTGCTGGGAAGCACGATTCAGTATGGAGACGGGGGAAAGTTGCATGGAGAATTATAAAGAGTCGATTGGGAAGTCAGGGGAGTCATGGATGGATTCCGTATGAGTGGTGGTAGGGGAAAGGGGGTGGTGTTAGTGTGAAGAAGACAAAAGAAATCAGTGACATACATATCGAGCTTAGCCATCCCTGATATCGCGATAGTGCTGTTTTTGTCACTAAAGTCTTTCAATTTAAAAATGCGCTTGAAGTTAATTCTTGAACAAGGTCTTAGGACTATAGATCTTTTGCAGTTCTTGATAAAATGCAAACACTTACCGTAGATTAGATTTCTGTAGCTGATCTTTTTATTTTGATGATTAACTCTTAGTAGCATACTCCATGTGGCTGAGAGCGGTATTTGTTCATCGAATGCTGAGCAAAAAAAAATACTGATCTTAATTTCATGTAACAGGTTACTACCTCAAAGATATCAGTAGTAATAAGAACTTTTTAAAACGTGACTACAAAAAGTGTCACGTCGTGGACAGCTTCTCTCATCTTATTGCATTGTATTAAAATCATACGAGCAATAAGATACCGGCGGGGTTTGTCTTAGGTGTTTACCATCATTTGCCAGGCTATTGGAATTTACCCTACGATTTGCCGTCGATTTCTATCTTTCTATCTTTACAGGACTGCAAACCCCCCAAAAAATTTCTGTGATGCAGAATATCGTGTGCGTAATGAATACAAATTTGTCAAACTTTTCTGATAATGTTAGTATAATTATTTTTTGGTGTTGATGCTTTCATACTCTGGCGAGGAAAAACGGTTTTTATTATTCCTCGATTTGTGCCGAACTGATAACAATTGTTGTGCTACAAACGTGAAAATGCCGTACATGTTGATTCATTCATTGATTCACTCACTTATTCATTGATTTATTCATTTAGTCATTGATTTATTCATTTATTCATTTATTCATTGATTCATTCTTTCATTCATTTATTCATTGATTCATTGTTTCATTCATTATTTCATTCATTCGTTCATTCATTCATTCATTCATTCATTGTTTCAATCATTGTTTCATTCATTATTTCATTCATTCATTCATTCATTCATTCATTCATTCATTCATTCATTCATTCATTCATTCATTCATTCATTCATTCATTCATTTATTCATTCATTCATTCATTCATTCATTCATTCATTCATGCATTCATTTCATTAGTACCTTATTCCATCTTTCTGCTGTCTTTCATCGTTCATTCATTCATTCTAGCAGTGATAATTTAATTAGTAATAAAGCTCCTAAAATCTTAACTGACATTTTGAGCCTTCTATGCATATCTTGAATAAGACAGCTGATATAGCAGAACAGAATCTGTTGCAGTGATTTAAATTGATTAAGTTTGCAAATACGTGAAGGCATTTGGAAAATAGAATAACAGAATTTAACAGAAGATGTTGCGATCATACAAATTTTAAATGGGTTTGAAAAAAGCAAACATTTTATGACATATTGGCAAATTTTGCTGTGTTTGCAATTAGTAATTTCAGGTTTGGAAGTTTCTATAAAGAATCCAACTTGAAATTGGAAATGAAAGAAGGTCCTTGTTGCAAATGAAAGCATGTTATGCAAGCTGGATGGCAATCATCAAACCAAATGACATAAAAGCAAAACTAGAGAGCATTGCAAATTTGCAAAATGAAATATAAATGTCTCAGAAAATGAAACATCTCTTTAACAGACCCTTGATTCGAAAATATTTAACAGACCTCTTTCAAAGTTGTTTTTTGAAACAGTTTGTATATTTTGAATGCCTTCAGCATGTGTCTGATTGGTTGAAGGGCTTTGTCTACACTCTTTTTTATAAGAACCAGTAAATTTAAGGCTGGATTGTTCTTAATTTGTTCTTAATCTAATAGGGTGTAAACAGTGCAATTGCTAGCTTGTTCGCTCTAGGGTGGTGTACAGGCCTCATTTGCCAACAAAATGAGTGAGACAGCCTTAATTTGCTGACAAATTTGAACATTCACCGAAAAAGCACCGACACATGGCTATTAAATTCATCGTTTTTGAGAAAAAACAATGTTCAAAATTGCATTTTGCAGAAGCTCAGCCTCGGCTTGTTCTTGACTTGTTCTTGACTTTTGATCAATTTTGAGGCTCGTGTTCTCATAAACTTGTTCTAATAAAAAAAGAGTGTATGTCAGTGACAAAATGTCACAATAAATAGGTTCATTCAAAAGCTTCCTGTGAAATATATCAAAACCGAAGACTCTACAATATTGTTGTGATCTTGAATAGGCAGTGACCACAATTTTTACATGGCAACAACTAGGAACACCTTTGACGTGACTTAAAAGTTGATCCAATTTATAATCACAAAGAGTCATAACATAGCAAATGAGACAAAAGATAGGCCTGGCCTTTTTCAACCATTTTCAAAGGTCTATATATCACAATGGATGACAAGGGAATAGACATTAATCTCCAGATAGAGAGAATCGGTTTTGGAAAGTTCCAAATAATTGCCTTGATCATTCTTTAGCTGAGATATTTCTCATATTCGCCCACAACAAGCCTCCTCACCATACTGGAGCCGTATCTTCGTTGCTATTGGAAATTGAGTTACATGACTGCAGCATGGCTTGTCTTGCCTGAAGCTATCACTAAAATAGTTGGATCGATCTTACTTGGCAAATTGTCAGATAGGTATGGATACAGCATAGATAGGTAGATAGATAGGTATGGATATCTTTGTCAGATAGGTATGGATATCTTTGTCAGATAGGTATGGATGTCAGATAGGTGCAGCAATGCAATGCAGAACATGTCAACGAAGCTTCCCTTCTGCTTTTGCCCAGTTTTGTGCCAAAAATTATTATACTTATTTCATTGAAATCAAATCAGACAAAGATCTACCAGCATTTATTTGGACGGTCTTAAAAACAAAAACTGGCCGAGGTTTTCTTTATTCTCAAATCCATCTTGGACCAAGAAACGCGCACATCTGTTCAACCGCACCCATTCCACCTAATTTAGTCAGAAACAATATAACAAGATAAAATAATTTTCTCATCCCGGATTTCCAGTCCAGCGCTTTTTCTATTTGACCACAATCATATGAATTTTAAAATGAAACAGGAATGATCCAGCTATCAAAGTCGACTTCAATATGGAAACCAAAGAAATTGATATAAATCTCCAAATAGAAAGAATCGGCTTCGGAAAGTTCCAAATTATTGTTTTAGCTATCGTGTGCCTAAGGTACTTTTCATATTCATCTACAGCCAGTCTTCTCGTCATATTGGAGCCCTATCTTCGTTGCTATTGGAAATTGAGTTACATGACAGCAGCATGGCTTGTCTTGCCTGAAGCTATCACTAAAATAGTTGGATCGATCTTACTTGGCAAATTGTCAGATAGGTATGGAAGGCGCAAGACGATGATACTTGCTTTCTTTTTTAATTCATATTTGACGCTGCTTTTTTCGCTATCCACCAGCACAGTTCTGTTGTCAATAATACGAGGGGTTATTAGTCTCGCCTCGTCAAGCACCATGATAGCATTTACTTATGCAATGGAAATTTTGCCAATATCCAAACGAAAATACATGTCTATTTTTGCTGCAGGGTTTTTTGCAGGATGTGGCTATGGCATTTTAGTTGCTATGGCTTCGCTGAAGTATCTATCATGGCGATGGTTCGACGCTTTTGCAGAGACCATTCCGATAACGTTAGCGGCACTTGCAGTGCTATTTCTGCCGGAATCTCCACGATATTTGATGGCCATTGGAAAAACGGAAGAGGCAAAAGAGACTCTCCAAAGGATTGCCAAAAGGAACGGAGCAATGGATAGATTTTCGACATTTTCTCGTATGAATCTACTAATGCTGTGACAATAAAACATTTTAAAACGAATGTTGATGAGCGACAGCAGCAATCAAAATACGAAATGGCAAAAAGGATTGTTGTAGTAGCTTTTCTTCAATTTTATGGCGATATTGTCTCTGCAACAGTGCGTTTTGGCTCAATGCAGTTTGGAGAAAATTCGGTCTCGGAAAATGTTCCGAGAATTTGACATACAAATATCGATGGGCGGTAGAAACAGCTGGGTTATTCTCAGTTGCCACATCTTACTGGTTACTGAGCAGAGTTACCAGAGGGCTAACAATGAAGACCTTGGTTGTTTTCCTTGGTGGCTGCCTTATACCATTCTATTGGCCTTTGCGTGGATGGCCTTTGCTCGTTGCAATCACCCTCACTGAACTAGGGGCCTCGACAATGAATAATATTGTATTAGTCTATAGAGCCGAACTACTTCCTACGTCGATAAGAACGAGCGGGTGCGGTATTTCTGATGCTTTTGGTCAGTTCGGTATTTTGTGTGGCCAGTTTATTGCTATATATCTTCATCATGTTAGTAATAGTCTTTCTTTTGGCATTTTACATGGTTTCACCGCAGTGGGTATTTTTATTGTATTTTATGGTATCATAGAAACAAAGCATCAGCTATTGAACTGAAAGAGGTTTGCGAAATTAAGATAGGATGCATTTTGGTACATTCCACATTGAATTATCAATAAGCTCCCTTCTCTCTAGTAAGACCCCTTTGGGACTGAAAAAATAACCCCCCCCCCCGGGGGGCTTTATATGAGTTTTATGTTATTTAAAAATAAAACATTTGTTTTCTTAACATTGTATTCCGGATTCCGGATTTCGTATATTGGATTCCGGATTCCGGATTTCGTATATTGGATTCCGGATTCCGGATTTCGTATATTGGATTCCGGATTCCAGATTCCGTGGTAGCCTTAGAGATTTTACTTTTAATTAAATTTTAATTTTGACAACTTTTTTAAACCAGTATGCCTACAGGAAGCGGGGAAAGGGTAGGGGTAAGTACCGAGCCATATTTACATGAAGACAACTTTCGTTATCGTAGATCTGTGATTTTAAATGGATAGAATAGTTCAAATGTATTTGTTCACAGCATCGAATCTGTAAGTAATGTTTTCTATTCCGTAAAAATACCCTTGAATTTTAGAAATTGACAATGAAGTTTTTTCCTTAGCAAGAGAATTACTATTCAAACTTCCAAATATGCCTCTAATTTTTGCGTTGACTCTGAATATTCTTATGATATCTGTTTATATTTATCAATGAAGGGTTGACGTTGTGCCTCTGCTTATACCCCCCTTAGATCGACAGAGCAAATGCTACACTTGTGATTTTCAAACTGAGATTGTGAAAGACAATTGCGCAAATATGGCTGTTTTTTTAAGTATTAAGAAGAGGTAAAGACGGCACTGCTAGGATTTGAAACAGGCAATAGGTGTACTAGTGTTTTGCTTTCATCCACAACCGCCGGAAGAAACATGTCTTTCTACCACTTCAGATAGAAAATGTAGATAATAGAAGTGATTGAATGAGTATTCCTTTAGTGTGATTATAGAGTTCTAAAGTGTGACGTCATCAGAAATCTATTTTTAGAATCTTTGAATTTTAACCACATTCCTTCATTTGAATTCCTTCCAGGAGACATAATTGACCAACCAAACTCCATCCAAAGCTTATCAATTTGCCCGTCTTTTGGCCTTCTCCCTGATCTTAGTCCAAATGATTTAATGGTACTAGGTCTGGCAACCACAACAGAACATCTTTGTCAACTTTGATCACTAATGTCTCGATACTGGAGTTTTCAGAGATACAGGAAATCTTTATAGTTCTACTTTCTGTGTCACTGAATGCAGCTTCATGCCAATTCTTCTATTTTCTTTCTTGAGCGGATGAATTTTTTCTGCAACGTTGATAAAGCGTATGAGCTGCCTGCATCAGACAACGCCCGACATTTGATGTCATCAATGCGTACTACCAGTATAGGCAATGTATCCTTCATATCTGGCTTTACTTCTTCGCTTTAATAATCGACTCCTGTTCTTGATCGCAAACATAGGTGTGCTGATTTCCGTTGCATTTTTTATATGTGAATTTGCTTTGACTTTCTGCTACTTGATGTTTCATCCATTGATGGTTTGAAACACTCTGTATTGCTTTTGTTGACCTTGTTATCGGCTTTTTTGAACTGAATTTACTGGGGTTCTCTCCCACCAATCCCTCAATCCTTCATATCTGGTTTTTAGGGCTTGCTTGGCAAGTTTGTAACCTTAGTGCAAGTCTGTCAATTGTATGTCTTACTTCATGGAACACTGAGATAACTAATTTTGGCACCTTGACTTTTTCTTCTAGCTCCTTACTGGAATTTTCTGGAATTTACTGTCATTTCTCTCGCAAATTTTCTCTTCAGTTCCAATTTTGTTTCCGCTAGCTTCAATGCCATTTCAAACATATTCTTCCAGGCTTCTTCTTTTATTGCTTCATCAAGACGGTTTTTAATTTGTCGCTCCTCACGCTTAAATGTTTGAAGTCTTCCTTGAACATCTTCTACAGCATCTCTGAATGTTGTTAATTCGTTTTCAATGCCTTCAATCCAATCTCAAGCACTAGCTGACTCTTCATCTGTGTTTTTTTTAAGTTCTTGTATGCAATGCATGTATTTAATTCCCAGACTTCATCAAATTGTTTGTTGAATTCCGCAAGAAGCCGCTCTTAGATCTAGCCGTGGCTCTGTGGCTTTGTCCAAAGTTATTTGTGTTTTTTCTCCCAGCTCCTTCAGTATATTGAATGTTTTCACAATCTTCTTGAGCTCTTCTTCCATACTTGAACTTTCTTTTTGTCACACTTGTTGGCTGCATTTCTCTAATATGCTGGATTTTATCGTTGGTTTCTTCTTCAGCCATTAGTCTTCTAGTTTCCCATCTGGGATGCCACTTTTTCGAGAATTAGATATTTAGTTTGTCCATGACAATACCCACGAAGTAAGATACCGAAAAAAGATTCTCAATATGTTTTGCTTATCATTCTCGTTAATTCATTACTGGTAATTTCAGATTGAGCTATCAACTGCTCGATGATATAATTGTTTATGCAAACAAGAGTGCTGAGTCATTTCAGGTCAGTGATGAATATGATATGTTAACGACACATCAGGAAAGACTGTTTTAAATCAAGTAAAATGCTACTTTTATCTAGGATCACAAATCACAGAGGATGGACGCTGCACAGACGAAATAAGAAAAAGGACAGCAGTGGCTAAGATTGCATTCCAACGAAATAAAGAATTGTTCAACAGTAATATCAACAGGAAAACGAAAATGAACCTCCTGAAAACATATGTCTGGTCTGTTTTTATTTATAGATGCGAGGCATGGACTATTGAGAAAGAAATGATGGACAGGATTCGGGCATTCGAGATGTGGTGTTATAGAAGATTGTTGAAGATCAGGTGGACAGATAGGGTTTCCAACAAAGAAGTGCTACGAAGAATGAATGAAACCCCTATGCTTCTTACCACCATAGTAAAGAGAAAAGCTGCACTCTTTGGTCATGTGGCAAGAGGATCAAGTGGAGCAGTTTTTTGTAACATCATGGAGGGGTTCATTGAAGGGAAAAGATCTAGCGGTAGGCAAAGAAGGACTTGGATGGACGATACTAAAGAGTGGGTTAACATCCAGAACTATGGTATCCTGAGTTGTAAGTAGGTGTAGTGACAGGGTTTGTTGGAGGACCATGGTTAGCAACCTACGGATCACGTAGAAGCTACCTGGAATGAATGAAGGACACATGGAGTGATGCCAATAAGAAAACCTACCTATGTCATTAGACTTCGAGCATTAACTTCTATCTTAAAATAGCATGGGGTTTTCTATTGGGTTTCAAGGACCATTAAAGACTTATTTCGAAAACAGCGCAATGTGCTTATGTGTACAAAATTGAAAAGGTCTACAGGGGCCCATTTTGCTTTCAGGCTCAGGGGTGATTACCCTCTTATCCCTCCCCTTCTTCGTAGGCCTGTTCACAAAGAAAAACATTAAAAATGGCTTTTAGCATCTTAACCATGCCAACTTCTTAACCAGTCTTGAGCGTTTGCAAAAACTTTTTAAATTCCTAAACGTATTCTACGGCACAAAATTTCTTATTGCTCCAATCCATCTTTACAGAATTTTGAGCCATGATTTGCGCATACCTGTGAAACCGCGCCCACAATTCCACCTTATCTAGTACTCTCCTCCACAGAAGCTATTGTATATAGAGAGTGGGACAAGATAGAGCTGCGGAGTATAGGTGAAGGAAAGGCGGGGGAGAACAGAAAAGAAAATTTTTCCTCGTTCTCTCTCGCAGCTCCAGCTCCTCCACTTTTCCTTTTCTTCCGCAGTTCCCTTTATCTTTGTCTCCCACCCCATCTCCCTCCCCAACAGCCTCTGTGGAGAAGTGTGCCGACTTAGCCAGAAACAACTAAAGAAGCGAAAAGAATTTTTGCATCCGGGATATCGAGACCAGCGCTTTTTCTGTAGTCCTTAATCATAGGCATTGTCTTGATTCAAAGTGAACCCACAGTATCTAGCTATAAGCAATACTACTAGTCGACTTCAAAATGGAAACCAAAGGAATTGATATAAATTTCCAAATAGAAAGAATCGGCTTCGGAAAGTTCCAAATTATTGCTTTAGCTATCGTGTGGCTGAGGTACTTTTCATATTCAACTACAGCCAGTCTTCTCATCATATTGGAGCCCTATCTTCGTTGCTATTGGAAATTGAGTTACATGACTGCAGCATGGCTTGTCTTGCCTGAAGCTATCACTAAAATAGTTGGATCGATCTTACTTGGCAAAATGTCAGATAGGTATGGAAGGCGCAAGACGATGATACTTGCTTTCGTTTTCAATTCATATTTGACTCTCCTTTTTTCGCTCTCAACAAGCACAGTTCTGTTGGCATTAATACGAGGGGCTATTGGACTGGTATCCACAAGCTCCACGATAGCATTTACCTATGCAATGGAAATTCTGCCAATATCAAAACGCAAATACATGTCTATTTTTCCAGCAGCGTTTTTTGCAGGGTGTGGGTATGGCATTTTAGTTGCTATGGCTTCGCTGAAATATTTGTCTTGGCGATGGTTTGATGCTTTTTCGGAGACCATTCCGACAGCGTTAGCGGCCCTTGGAGTGCTATTTTTGCCGGAATCTCCGCGATATTTAATGGCTGCTAGAAAAACAGACAAGGCAAAGGAAATCCTGCAGAAGATGGCTAAAAAGAATGGAGTAGTGTGTAGGTTTTCGACATTTCCTTCATATGAATCTACTAATGCTGTGACAATAAAACATTTCAAAACAAAAGTTGATGTGCGACAGCAGCAATCAAAATACGAAATGGCAAAAAGGATTGCTTTGGTCTCTTTTCTGCAATTTTATGGCGAAATTGTCTCTGCAACAGTGCGTTTTGGCTCAATGCAGTTTGGAGAAAATTCTGATGTTTCGGATTGCGGAAAATGTTCCGAGAACTTGACATACAAATATCGATGGGCGGTAGAAACTGCTGGTTTTTTCTCAGTTGACACATCTTACTGGTTACTGAGCAAAGTTACAAGAGGGCGTACAATAAAAATTTTGGTTGTTTTCCTCTGTGTTTGTCTTATACCGTTCTACTGGCCTTTGCGTGGATGGCCTCTCGTTGTGGCAATCGCTCTCACTGAATTCGGGGCAGGGCCGGTTCCAGGAAATTTTCTTGGGGGGGCTGTAAGCTCTTATGTACCGAGTAATTTTAGAAAAAACAATACCAAAAATTTTGAGCTCAACTAATCGTGATCAGAACTAACAACTAAATGACTTACACTAACTTTAATTTAAGAAATTTAACTTTAACGAAAGAACTTTAATTTTAACTTCAATCTGAAAAAAGCGTTTCAACCAAATACAGCACGTTCTAATAAAAATACAGAGTCAATGGTGGGTCAAAAAATAACCCTCAGATTTTTGCGAGTCGTTTAATTAGGAGCTTTTGACCCAGCCTCTTTTTCAGTTCTTATAGCGCAATATATGAATAAATTAACTTTAAGTAGTGTCAAATCGAACTCTTCTGTTTTTTAAGTGTATCCAGTTCTTGACAACATCTTCCAAGTTGACATTTTCAGAGAAATCCTTCTCGCATGATATCAGCATCAGAGATTCCAGGCGGTCCTGGAGCATTGTGCTCCGCAGCTTAGTCTTCACCAACTTTAGTTTGCTAAAAGATCTTTCATTTGAAGCCACAGTAATTGGTGCTGTTTGAAGGAATGTATATGCTGTGTTGCTTGCCGGATAAATGTGCCTTCGACTATATACGAACTTTGCAATTTCACGGACTGTCATGCTCTTCACCAACTTTTTCTCTTGGAAGTCCTCTCTCAAAACAGTAAGCTCTGCAATAAGACTGCCACTTGAAACTTTCCCCGACAACAAATGCTCCAGATCCTCTGCTTGTTCTTCCCTTAAGTTATCCCAAGGAGGCAACAAAACAGTGAACGGCTTTATTTTCTTCAAAATGCTACCCCAGTTTTCTTTACAATCTGTAATTATCTGATCAAGTACAGAATAAATCTCTTTCGAATAAAACGTCTGGAAGGAGAATGCCTCCTCGTTGTCTCGGTTTTCCTCAATTCTTCTTGGAATCAATCTTCTTCTGTGGCGGTGCTGAAACTCCTATTCTGGATTTATTCCCATGTGCATTGCAATTTGTGTGGCAGCTTCAATCTGCTTTTGCACGTCATCTTCATTTCGAATCTTTTCTAACGCCCTAGTTGTCGATGACACTAGCTCAAGTGCGTCGAGTAAATTCAAACCCTCTTCCTGAAGTTGCACAACCAGAACCTTACAGCGCCGATTATGAATCTCATAGTAGCCAAGCTGAAAACAAAATCAAATGTTTTCATTTTCTTCAAAATTGCTTTGGCTTGATCCTGTGTGTTTTTGTCACAGTCAAGTTGTCTATCCATTATCTGCTCGAGCAGCGAGACGATTACTGTCAAAGAGATCCAGACACTGTCAATAGATTCAGATCTAGCAATCCAACGAGTTTGCGAAAGATTTCGCATCTTCAAGGCCCCTTCTATTTCAACTTGTGCTTTTTCAAGTGCTTCAGATCGCTTGGTGCTACTAGAAAAGAATGTGTACAATGACTGTAATATGTCAAACATCGATGATACAAGACTGCTTGCTTTGGAGCTTCGTTCTACATATGTACTCAGCCTGTGAGCCTGGCATGGGATGTAAAGGATTTCCTTTTTGTGTGGAAAATCTTCTTGAATTTTATCACTTAGCACTCGTTGGCATCCTTTATACTTTCCAGACATACATGACGCAAAATCGTACGATTGAAAGACGAGTTTTTGTGGGTCCACACTACACTCATTGAGAGCTTTCAAAATTTCTGCAGCATGGCCTTCTCCGGACTTGTCTTTGAGAATCCTCAGACACAGTAAACGCTCAACCGGCTTGGCATTGACGACGTATCTTACAACAATTGCCATCTGATCTTTATTGCTTGTGTCCGGGGTAGTATCAGCCATTACTGAGAACGCTGAGACTTCCTCTAGCTCCTTCACCATACGATGCCTCACTGCGTCACCTAGCAACTTTATCAACTCATTTTGGGTGTCTTTGCTCATATAGGTAACATGGTATGGTCGCATCCTTGTTTGGTTCTGCCAGTATTTCAAAATGCCGCAATGTCGACTGATTAACCTCACAATCTCATGAAAGTTGCTGGATTCGTCAGTATTTCCACGAAATGCAAGGTCCTGCATAGCCATGGTGCGAGCAGCATCACATAATATTAACATAATTTTGGTGTTAAACATTGCGTCGTCAGTTTCTTTAATCATTTCATGACGACGAGACAAATCCAAAAGTGCATCAACGTTCTGATGTGGGTTAGGGAATCTTGCAAAATCTCGTAATGCTTCTCTGTGACTTTGGCTGGTGAAATGCTGTATCAGCTTGCCCTTCTTTCCTTTTCCAACACTCTTCATTTTGTGCCACTGTCTAACGCCATTAATAGTCCATGAAGCATCTGAAGAGGGTCTTCCAGCGCCGTTTGGAAATAAGGAACAAACATAGCAAAATGCTGCGTCATTTTGAACGCTATATTCAAGATGTGGAAAATCTTTGAACCAGGTGCTTGAAAACTTATTTTGTTTACCAGATTCAATGAATGCATTACTTGGATAAACTGTCAAGCGAGGCTGGTAGGGACCTAGGTTTATCACAAAACGGCGTTGGCTATCCGACAAATCTTTTTTTCTTTTTCCAGGGTCGTGTTCTATTAGTGCTGCTGCTTCTCCAGGTTGTACAGATCCTTTTTGCCTGTCAATTTTGACTTTAAGTCGTTCAGCAGATTTTTCTAAATCATTACACTGGGTTTTAATCTCGTTGGCAAACTCATTTGCAGATATCGCAAACTCTTCGATATTTGGGGTACATGGTTGTGTTAGAATGTTTAACGTCAAATTACCTCTTTGCTCCAAAGTGGATAGCAGATGCTTGAGCTTTCCCGCACAGCTAATCCAATAATCATCATTTTCATCATCGGTGTCATCGTTTTCGGAGTTTTCAGCCTCACTCTCGCTCTCCTCATCAACCACATTCTCACCGACAACATTACTAATATTAGATACTGATTCTTCTTTTGCAGAATTCGCTAACCCAATCTCTTCGGTTTTGTCATCCAATATCTTCTCAGATAAAGGATTACCAGAGAATGTTGCTTCGCGGGTTTCGCGCCTTCTTCACAGGTGGCGTCAGTCACTATGTTTAGTTTTATTGAATAAATCGATCAGTGGAATTCGAACAATAGGGAACAATAGAGTAAGCAGGAAACACAAATGGTTTCTCAGGTTCTCACCGAATGAGACCACACCAGCAAATATCACATGGTCTTTGTAGGCACAGGGCAATAATGAAGAAAACTAGATATTCAAAATGTTATGCATATTTAATTGCTTTTTGCGCAGTGATGCACTACACAGCATTTAATATAAAACTTCGTAACACAATTTTACCGACCAAAAATCGAACTTTACCGAGTAAATCGCCAAACTCAATTCTTGGGGGGGTGTCACACCCCCCCACACCCCCCCATGGAACCGGCCCTGATTCGGGGCAGCGACGCTTAATTATGTTTTGTTAGTCTATAAAGCCGAACTACTTCCTACGTCTATTAGGTCAAGCGGGTGTGGTATTTCTGATGCTTTTGGTCAGTTCGGTATTTTGTGTGGCCAGTTTATTGCTCTTTATCTTCATCACTTTAGTACAAGTCTTTCTTTTAGCATTTTACATGGTTTCACCGCAGTAGGTATTTTTATTGTATTTAATGGTATCATAGAGACAAAGCATCAGCATTTGAATTGAAGATCATTAGTCAGGCATGCAAACTTTGTACTGTTTCAAATATGTCCTACTAATGCATATTCATACATTGCAAAGTCTAAGGACGGCGCATTCTTTAGTTGGCTCTAATATTGCAAATTTCACTTTTCACATTTTGGAAGACATTTTGTTACTCCAATCGAGTACATTCTGAGAATTTTATTAAATCAGCCTGTAGACAGGAAGAAGAGGAATTGTAATAGGACATGTGTATACAATCACATGCCATACCACGTATTAGCTATAAATCAATGCCGTATCACGTATTAACATATATATAAGCAACTGTTGGTATTTAATTAGTGAGTGAGTTTTAGTGCGATTAAAGGGCACATAAAATGTATTAAGTGCGTTGTCTTTGCCTTTCGCTTTTTAGGATGTAACGCCTTTTACAGAAGTATTGGGGTAGGGGCTCATTGCTAACAATTGCCACTATCAATCCACTTGCCACAATTATGACTATTATATTATCTTCTTATGAAATCTAAATTCAGATTGAGTGGAAACTCAGAGTAAGCGGAAAAGGGTGAAAACATTGTCCTTCCAATAATTTTTATTTCTTCGAAGCATTTACCAAAATTTTGATTATGACAATAGTTTTGGAAATGCAATTGAAAAGGATTTTTATGCTAAGAATGCTTTTGGTGTCTTTTAAACTGAAGAAAATATTGAGTTTAGAGAGCATTTTCAACTGGCTTCACTCGAGACGTCTCGATATCCCCCAGTTAGTGTCCTATCTTCTTGGAATATATTTGAAACACATTAGTCCCATCACTCTTACTTTGTCCACGATCTTTGCTACTTCTGTTAATCATTTTAATTTTATCTTTCTTAACTTTCCACAATTGTAGTCTTTAGTGTTCGGTTTCAAGATTAAACAAATTAATTTAACTCATAGAACACACAGCATGTTTTCTGCTCGCACAGTCATCCTCTCCAGCTACAAACAACAACAATAACAGAGGGGCCGGTTCCTAATGTCTCAACAGGGCTCCCAGACTAGTTAAACTATTAAACACATATACTACATAGTCATTTTCAGAACCCAACTTAATCTACCCATAACTATTCCATATACAAAGGAGCCATCCAAAGAAGTTAGGAAGGAGAGTTGTGTTGTATTGAATTTCGAGAAGCCATGATAACGACCACATCCACCTTTACACCCTTTGAATTCTGATTTAAAGATTGTCTTTTTTGTTTATGAAATCATTCAAAATATTCTCCAACTTTTAAATGCTAATAGAAATTGCTCATGTATATAACATCAAAAGTAAAATAAAGGGCTAGATCCTCTTTCCCAAAATTTCCTTTGAGGAAACTTTTGATTTTTTTGACGAAAGCTGTAAGCAGATGGTAAACATTCTATATGAAAAGGAATGCCATTGCAGCACTTTGCTCCAAAGTATTGCACACAACTGGGACCATATTGAAGTGGGATTTTCTGACTTATTATCATTCTTACTAGCTTGTCGTGTACCATATTGACGAGGAGAAAAATTATTTACGTAATCATATACAAAGCCGAGCGATTCTAATTGAAATAGTTCATGCAGTTTTCTTGTTTTTAAAACCAGCAAGGATAGGTGTAGAAGAAAAATAAACATGTTCCAATGAGATGGCCCTTACAACGCATTTCTGTAAAGAGATACTGGCTTGATGCAGGTCTCATAAGTAAGACCCCAAACTAAAATCCCATATTGAAGAAACGTACTGAAAAGATGATTGTAGAGCAATATAAAAACACTTAGAGGTAAGAGATGTCTTTCTTTGAAAAACATACCACAAGCTTTATCAAATTTTCCGGACAATTCTGTTAAGTGATGTTTCCGGGACAAGTTTTCATCTTAAAGAGCACCAAGAAATTCGACATAGCCTGTCTGTTTAATGGAATTTTTTACATTTTGATACCTACGGTTTCAGAAAAAGAATGCCGAGGAGGCTTAAAAATTATAAAATTGGTTTTATCAGTATTTAAGGTCAATTTTCAACATCAAGTCACATCTTCTTGTTTTTCATTTCCTTCGTAAAGGCTGCTCAAGACATTCAACTTCATATAATACGTTGCTAACAGCAACAAATAGGTAGCAGGTTAATGGGGAGGATGAAAAAGGTAAGTTATTAATGTAAACTAAAAAGAGAAGGGGCCCAAGGACAGAACCCTGTGGAACTCCACGTATGACACTGAGAGGACTGGAGTTAGAACCATTCACTGATACATATTGCTTCCTATCAAAGTGATAGGATTCCAACCAATCTAAAAATGTTCCCTTTAATTCAGGTTAGAATAAACCAACATGTCTCCTCCAACCTAAGAACACAACCCCTCTCTAAGATATCAGCTATCTTGGTATTGGAGATCTGGAATTTTTATCAAAACATGTTATTCTTTCATTGGGTATCTTTTCCTAGAAGACCAAAGTTTTTTTAAAACCAATTATGGCGATGTGTTCCAAAATTATCAGAGAAACCAAAAATAATTTATTAATTTTTTAAGTTTTTAGAGCGGAAAATCGCAAAAGAGTTTAATCATTTTTGCATCTTGAAAGCTATTTTTGCAATTTTTTGAGATTCTTATGGTGACAATTGCCGCACTGGGATTGCAGTGTTTGCTGTCATGACTAGTGCCATTTATGGAGAGAATTATAGGGGATATAACTTTATTATGATGGAAATAAGATACCACATATTGTTCATTTTTTCCTTTGTACCGAATATGTAAACTTTGTCAAGGTACACCCTCACAAATTGTAGCAGGGTCGCCAGATGTACCAAATTGTTTAGGCACACCGTCACTAATTGTAATAATCCCGAAAATTGTCTTCTCACGCTCCCATTTTGTAACAAAACTCAACATGCTCACGAAATTCTAAAAAACGGCCTAAAACTAGGTCCCAGTCCTAATCTAACTACACGTTATAAATGTACTTTGCGGACTAGCGCAACGGAACGAACAAAACAATGTCGCAAATAACTAACTAAAATCAGTTTACCTTCGTTTTTAAGATTTATTTATTTGACAATACAGGTAATTATGAACATTTTTATCTATATGAAAATTTTCGAGAAATTCAATCGTTGATTTTGCAAAAAAGGAGAGGGCCTTAGATGTTGAAAAATCCTATTAAAGCTATTATTACAATTAGCCCTACCAAGAGCCACACTGACCCTGGGCCACTAAAGGATGATAGGACCCCTTCCATCAGAAGTTGAAAGAATAATATAATCGATCCTAAAATTCTGTTTTCAAAACGAAGTGAAGAAAGTGAATGTCACAGGAAGTATAAGTAGGACACCCAAATACACAGTAAACCGATTCCACGAACTGCCTTGATTTGCAAGTTACCCCGCACAACATGGAAGAGAAAGGACAAAAAGGAATCTCTCTGCAGGGTTTGTGGCGCAAACAGTATTTCGCTAGGAGCAAAAAGTGAGGAATGACATTATCACTACATGTTTAGCTTGATTGAGCTTCCTTGCCAATGAAAAACTTGGTTAGCCTAAAATAAATTTACATATGCGCTTGCAAAAAACATGGAATTTCTTTCAACGAAGTTTCATTTTTACAAATGCCATATTCTGTGCCCAAATCTATTGATCGGCTGCGTTGAGATGAAATCTGAACGGGACCTGCCATCATTATGTTTGACTGTCATAGAACTTTTCATTGGCCAAGGATTTCTTTATTCTCAAATCCATCTTGGACGAAATATGGACCAAGATTCGCACACATCTATTCAACCGCACCCATTCCACCTAATTTAGTCAGAAACAATATAACAAGATAAAATAATTTTCTCATCCCGGATTTCCAGACCAGCGCTTTTTCTATTCGACCACAATCATATCAATTTTAAAATGAAACAGGAGTGATCCAGCTATCAAAGTCGACTTCAATATGGAAACCAAAGGAATTGATATAAATCTCCAAATAGAAAGAATCGGCTTCGGAAAGTTCCAAATTATTGCTTTAGCTATCGTGTGGCTGAGGTACTTTTCATATTCATCTACAGCCAGTCTTCTCATCATATTGGAGCCCTATCTTCGTTGCTATTGGAAATTGAGTTACATGACTGCAGCATGGCTTGTCTTGCCTGAGGCTATCACTAAAATAGTTGGATCGATCTTACTTGGCAAATTGTCAGATAGGTATGGAAGGCGCAAGACGATGATACTTGCTTTCGTTTTCAATTCATATTTGACGCTACTTTTTTCGCTATCCACCAGCACAGTTATGTTGTCAATAATCCGAGGGGTTATTGGTCTCGTCTCGTCAAGCACCATGATAGCATTTACTTATGCAATGGAAATTCTGCCAATATCCAAACGAAAATACATATCCTTTTTCGAGGCAGGGTTCTTTGCAGGATGTGGCTATGGCATTTTAGTTGCTATGGCTTCGCTGAAGTATCTATCATGGCGATGGTTCGACGCTTTTGCAGAGACCATTCCGATAACGTTAGCGGCACTTGCAGTGCTATTTCTGCCGGAATCTCCACGATATTTGATGGCCGTTGGCAAAACGGAAGAGGCAAAAGAGACTCTCCAAAGGATTGCCAAAAGGAACGGAGCACTGGATAGATTTTCGGCATTTCCTTCGTATGAATCTACTAATGCTGTGACAATAAAACATTTTAAAACGAATGTTGATGTGCGACAGCAGCAATCAAAATACGAAATGGCAAAAAGGATTGTTGTAGTAGCTTTTCTTCAATTTTATGGCGATATTGTCTCTGCAACAGTGCGTTTTGGCTCAATGCAGTTTGGGGAGAATTCTGATGTTTCGGATTGCGGAAAATGTTCCGAAAATTTGACATACAGATATCGATGGGCGGTAGAAACCGCTGCATTTTTCTCTGTTTTCACTTCTTACTCGCTATTAGGCAAAGTTAGCAGAGGGCTTACAATGAAAATCTTGGTAGTTTTTCTAGGTGCTTGTCTTATACCGTTTTATTGGCCTTTACGTGGATGGCCTTTGCTCGTTGCAATCGCTGTCACTGAATTTGGGGCTTCAACGCTGAATAATATTATATTAGTGTATAGAGCCGAGCTACTTCCAACGTCGATAAGAACGAGCGGGTGCGGTATTTCGGATGCTTTTGGTCAGTTCGGTATTTTGTGTGGCCAGTTTATTGCTCTTTATCTTCATCACATTAGTATAAGTCTTTCTTTTGGCATTTTACATTGTTTCACCGCAGTAGGTATTCTTATTGTATTTTATGGTATCATAGAGACAAAGCATCAGCTATTAAACTGAAATAGATTGTAACCATTAGTCAAGCATACAAACTTTGTACTGATCCATACATGTCCTACTTTTGCATTCCTAACTCGAATGATGGCGTATTCCTTAGTTGGCTCCTTTATTGCAGATATCCCTTTCTACATTTTGGAAAACTTTGTGCAAATGTTACTCTTGTAAAACCGCTTAAAAAGTTGGTTTTACCAAAGTGAGTTCGTAGGTTGTTCACAGAAACGTACACGATAAATAGGGCAAAAACTGTTCTCCAATTCTCTAATGTTTTACACTTCTTCTAGTTCATCAGTTCACGGCAAACGACTTAAAATATCTCAAAAGGCTAAAGACGACAATGTAACGGCAAACACAATTCTGCAAGCTAGCGACTAGACACACTGAGTTCGACAATCTTACGGCAAAACTAATTCTAACTATAAAACCTAGGGGCGGATCAAGGATTTTTGGTGACTATAGCTCAAATCTTTTGGGATTGGGAACAAGCCCTTCTGTTGATGGGACACGCCCACTATATGGGCAAATGCCGTAACCATGTGTGTTTATAGTCACTTGGTATTCATAAGTATTCCTTCGAACTTCCTTTTTCTATTTCCAGGGACGCCGGAGAAGGGGGCGTGGGGTTCAACTGTTGTCGAAAGTTAGCCAATGTTCAAGAAACCTACAGAAGATCGAAATAAATTTACAGTTACCTTGGAATTTGTGGAAGCTGAGAATTATCTTTCAAATGCCCTTTTACTCAAGCCTGCCCCCCCCCCCTTTTGCCACTTGGTCGTTTCGCCGTCCCTGTATATTTTCTAGTAGGTCCTTGCCTTTGAAGATCCATTACAGGGGACACAGGTTGAGAAAACGAGCTATAGTCCGGTGTTGCTTTACAGGGGACAGAGAGCGGTGAAGTACCGTGGATACTCGTATTCTATTGGCTAAAAGGCCATTCTCAAACCAAACTATAGCTTCGCTATAGCTCACGCCAAAAATTTTAGCACGGGTTTCATTGTCGTTGGTGCCTTTTCCAGAGCAAATCCCCAGATAGCCTGCGCGCAGCCTCAAAACACTTCTATCCCGAAGAGATAGAAGTGTTTGAGGCTGCGCGCAGGCTAATCCCCAGACCGACTATAGCTCGGAATATCCACTCAATTCTGGTTGGTTACTGTCAACAAAGGACGGAACTTCTGATTCGTCTTAGTTTATATATTAAGCCAAATATCCATACCACTCCGGAAAATGAT